CTTGGGCTTCTTTATCAACAGTCACCACAGCCCACTAGATCTCTTAAACTACATATAGGATGCTGCCCATTTTGCAAACACTATCCCAAGGGACGAAAAATTAGTTCGGCCCATTTATGGGGTAGTTGGGTAGGAAAGTGAAACAATCACAAATAAAATATGGAAAAAATATTTCTCTAGTTATTGTAGATAAGTTATCTGTATTTATTCTCAAAACGATGTCATTTTGGTATTGAAATCTTAAAAAGTTATAAATATAAAGACTATTGTAACCCTGAAATAAATTAAAATTATAAAAATACCATGATTTTTGTCCCAAAATAACGTCGTATTGGGCTTACGGCAAATAATTTATCTCCATTAACTGCAGAAAAAGCGAACCCATAAAATATTGAATGTTTGAACTTTGAAGTATATTATAAGGGGCAAAAAAATTAAAATAATGTTTTTTAATAAAATAATTACGCACTTATTACAGTTTTGGAAATAATTACACATTTATTGCATAATGTGACGCCCAAAAGGGGCGTCACACTTGTGCCTATATATACCTCTATTTTTACCATTTCACTTTTCACTCTTACCATTTCACTTTTCACTCTTACCATTTCACCTCTCTCTAACCACGGGTTGTGCTCCCGACCGAACGCGAAAATTTTCGTAGCGAAGCTCTGCCAACTTAGGTAAGTTCGTAATACCTGCTATGTATACGTTTAAATTACAGTGCTACCTTGTGAACATGTTAGGATTTATCGTATATTAGAGACTTAGAACATTAGGATAGTCACTTAGAAATTTTGTACCATGCTATGAATGTTGTAATGATTTAGTAATTTTTTTGTTACGTAGATATTATTATTAATAGTTAATTATGCATTGGAGTTTAGCGTATTAATTAGTGATTTAGAAAGTAGTGATAGTGACTTCGTAAATTTTGTATGATGTTATTAATGCAGGAGTGTATTGATAATTTTGTAGTCAGTTAGGTGTTATTATTAGTACATATTTATGAAATTATTAGTGGCTTAGGGTTAAGTATTATGTCAGTATGATTTAATTTGTGTCCGACGTTTTATTGTTATTTAATTACAAATAAATGACTGTACTACCTATTAATATTATTTCATTAATTTCGAATGTAGTAAAAACGTAGGGTTTATGCTTAATATTTTTGATAATAAATTAGAGCATTGCTTAATTAATTTGTACATAAAATATGTTCTTACATGTGATTAATTTCAATGTTGTTTTATATTATATAGTTTAGGGTCATGGCTGATTCATCATCATCTTCGGGTTCTGCATCGGATCCAGAGCCTACCGATCCTAGGATGCACATCATACCTGAGCCTTATAGATGTGACATCCTTCGTAAGAGGACGCAGAAGGCCCATATTTCACAGCGAGTGTGGAATACAGAGCATGTGAGGAGACTGAAGACCAGGCGTGGGAAACCACAGGGGGGCCACCTACCGGCACTATTCGAGAGGTGGTCACAGACCACCTCACACAGGCTGAATTTATACATGTTGCCCGGATGCGACATATCCAGGTATGCAATTTACAACGTTTTGTATTTATGTGATTATTCAATACCATTCGTTAACATGTGATAATTGTATAATTTATTTCAGATTAATGCCCTATTAATTAGTGCTATGGTCGAGAGGTGAAGACCAGAGACACATACTTTCCACGTGACCCAAGGTGAGATGACTATCACCTTATAGGATGTGGCCGGCATATTGGGATTGCCTACTGACGGCATTGTCGTTATCGGATCTAAATCCGAGGATTGGCCCGCTGTTTGTACTTTTCGGATCATTTTCATCACCCTCAGAAATGTTACCAACTGGAGACGCATGAACGGCAGACGGAGATGGAAGATGGGGAGAATTTAAATCAACTGACCTCACCAGTAATGGAACATTCTCCGCTGCGACGATGTCGACATACAACTCCAGAAAATATGTCCTTGACTGGTTGAAAAATTCTTCCATTGTCATCTCCATGTCTTCATCGTCAACCACTTGCAAACTAATGTATTTATCACATTGTCATAACCTTGTCGTGATCTAAGTGATACATTGTTTGCCTTGAAGACTTAACTTCTGCCGAATTCTCTGATGCAGTTCGCCAATGGTTGCATTGCGTTGGATTCGTGTCGGCCTTTTTTCACCTTCAAACATGACATCTCGTCGACCTTCTACCTTCCTACCATTGTAATATAACACAACACGAACAGAATTAGGATGTGAACTCATTCTTAAATAGAATAAGAAATAAAATTCAAATACTAAATTAAAGATAAAGGATTATGTATGTATGATGTTAGGAATTTTGGTAGAGAAGAGATATGAAGAGTGAGAGAAGAGGTGTGAAGAGTGAATAGAGTGGTAGGGGAATATATAGGGCTCAAGTGTGACGCGCCTAAAAGGGACGTCACATTGTGCAGTAGATCTGTAATTATTCTTAAAACTGTAATAAATGCGTAATTATTTTATTAAAAAACATTAAATTAATTTTTTTGCCTTATAAGGTATATTAAAAAAGAGAAAAATATTTCTGCAGTTAATGCAGATAAGATATCTGTATTTATGCTCAAAACGATGTCGTTTTAGTATTGAAATCTTAAAATATAAAGATTATTATAACCCTGAAATAAATTAAAATTAGAAAAACACCATAATTTCTGCTCCAAAACGACGTCGTATTGAGTTTATTGCAGATAACTTATCTGTAGTAACCGCAAAAAATTGAACCCATTAAAAAAACGTACACCGGTGTCTGCCCTGTCCCGAGTGTGATATTTGTGTTTTTTTTTTTTTTTTTTGATAACAGTGATATTTGTGTTTAACCCTAATAAAAAAATTTATTAAAAAAGAAAAACTTATACATTTAATCTAAAGTCCAATACATGTCGTGCAAATGCATCTTTTTTAACAAGTGAGATTTAGGGATTCATTTATTATTCATAAGTACGCTTAAAAAAAATTCAAAGTATATTAATATTTAAATAAAATATCAATTTATAATTTGTTTATATAATCAATTATTTTTTTTACAATTTAGCTTGGAAAATTAATTTTCTTCATTGTATATTATTCGTAATAATGATCAACATTCGTTTTTTTTTTTCAAAAAAATGCATTTTTTAATCAAATGTTATAAAAAATTAACTTAAACCTAGTATATTTTTTAAAAAAAAATTATATTTTGTTAATAAAAGTTAAAATTACATAGTTTTTTTTTAAAATATTAAACTTATTTGAACACATATATATATATATATATATATATATATATATATATATATATATATATTAAAATAAGCCTACACCCAACATCAGTAGTCAGGGTCATGGACATTATTTTGAGACCCAATGATCATCAGATAGCTCAGGTCATGGATGGCTGGACAATATATTTTATCTTCAGCCTAAAAGCTTAGAGATAAGAATTGCTATAACCCACAAATAATAAAAATACTATCAAATTTAGCATAAAATAAGGATTAATGTTAGTTACGCAAACCAAAAACTCTTACAGAAGTAAAGTTAACCAATTATTCACAAGCTAATTGTAGGAAGTTGTTACACCTTTTTTTTTTTTAATAAAAAAACATCTTTAACAACAAAAATCAAACGAGGCATAAATAGTCCCTTCTAGGGGTGGCAATTTGGGTTGACCCGCCCCGCCCCGCCCCGCCACCAACCCGCCAAAAACGGGGCGGGGCGGGTTGACCCGCCAAAAAATATGGGTTGTAAAAATGAACACACCTCGTTTTATGGTGGGTTGGCGGGTTGGCGAGTCAACCCACCAACCCGCCAATTAAAAAAAATTTAATTAAAATTCAAAAATAAATTATATTTTATGAATTTTTTTAATATTATTTTATTTTATTTCACACTTCTCTATATTTTTTTTAGTTTCAATCTTAAATGTATATTAATATTTGTCAAACATTCTTTAGGAATTTATAAATAGATAACATTTGTCATAAATAAAATAGTTATTCTTTATTTTTTCTAGAAAGTACTAAGATAAAAAAAAATTGAATATCACAAAAATTTAAATACTAATAAAATACTACCTAATTGTAAAAAAATAAAAAAAATAAAAAAATTTAAAACCCGGCGGGTCAACCCGCCCCGCGGCGGGTTGAACCCGTTTTGACCCACTTCTAGGCAGGGCGGGTTGAGGTGGGTTGGTGGGTTGAAAATCTCAACCCAACCCGCCCCGTTTTAGCGGGTTGGCGGGTTGACCCGCCGAGCTCAACCCATATTGCCACCCCTAGTCCCTTCCTTCCTTCTTTTGAGTGCAATTTGGGAGAAGGGAAAAGAGGGAAAGCTTCCCTCCGGTACTTCCATTATTCTTTTGGTTTAAAGAACATCCTTAAGCTAAACCAAATTGAATGGCCATTTCGTTAATTGATCTGAACCTGTTCTAATTGATTTATTGGGCTTAGACCTTGCCTAATTTCCTAAAATCCCATAGCAATCTCTCCATGCATAACTGGTTTAGGGTTATCCCATCAAATTAGAAAATATATTTTAAATGGTGTCCTAGCTCAATCCCCCACAATAAGATGATTATCTCCTTATTCTGATACAATTAAAAGGCACGCATTCTCCACCCTATTTTCTTATGACTTGAGTGCCTAAGTAATAGAGCATCACCACCAACCACAGTAAAAAAGAATGAAAAAGAATATCGTTCAAGTATTCATAGCCGACAACACCAAAACTGGAGTTGTTTATGTTTTATTTTCCCCAACATGCTAGAGTTGATAGATATGAACCAATGATGACTTTACTTGGCTTATTCAAGGTAATTAATATTAAGTGACCCTTTTAAAGACAGTACTTTGCCAGCCTTATCTGTACGATATTTATTTTTAACAATATTAAGGTTCAAGGAAAAATACCATTAAGGGAGAAAAAGTACCTTGTATTTTATTCATATACCATGTTGATTCTAATGTTAAGTACATGAATCCCCACAGTTTTATTCCCCAATACAAAGAGCACTATCCCCACCCACCACATAGGAACATTTTAGATAGACAAACTATAAAATACTAGTCATATATAATTATATATAGTCACTCTATGACTTGTGTTCCTGGGATTTGAAAAGTGCATTTTCTTTTTAATCAAGCTGAATTTGTGTGTCATAAACAGCTCCACCCTTCCATTTAGAAGAGATAACATTCTTGGACTCCACCCAATTCAGTCCTGCACTACCACTTACTTGGAACCTCATCTTGATGTCACCCCTAGGAGGGTTAGCAGCATCAAACACTGCCCCATAGGCCCTACGCATTGGCCTCCACTCTTTGCTATCTTCCTGCTCCATTAACATATTCAATTTCAAATTAAGTAATTGATTATTAACACTCTCAATTCTCAAATTAAGTGTATATGGAAAATATTTATGCACGGTACAATTATTGTACCTTAAAAACTCCTCATGCATGTTAAATTAAGATTCAAATCAACAAATATATATTTATATGTATATACCTGCCACAACTCCATAGCAGTCACATCGTATGTTCCACCAACATAGAGAACGAGAATCGCTAAGTAGTAAGGGTTTTTGCTGCTCTCATGGACCTTAAGCAAGACGTTATTATTGCCACCGTATTTGCAGGGAACCCTTTTGTATTCTACATCAACCACACCGTATTTGGAAAGCTCTGCAGAAGCATCGTCATTTCTACCCAAACTTGAATAGCCACGTGGACTCATGATGAAGTCTGTTCTGTCTCCCTCACCATAATCTGTCACCACCACATATGCTCCATATTCATCACAGTATTGTGGTATTTTGCACCTAACCTGATTCACCATCATTTATATTTGATAAATAAATAACTATTATAGTGGAGGCTAGCATGGTTTTTCTTTTATATTATATATTTTGTTTCATTTATGAAGTCTTCTTTCCCTAAGGATTATATTAATTATTTAAAGAAAGAAAAGAGATTACCATATATATGATTTAAAAAGGATCAAGGTAATCAAGTCTAAAAGTCATTTCTTTATGTTTATTTTATTTAGTGACCTTAACGGCATGGAATATGAATGTCAATAAACTAATTATTTTCAGACAAAAAATGCATGTTTGGAGCAACTATAATATTTTTTAATGAAGCCGGCTACAATAGTATAACTTTTCTTAATTTGTTCATAAAATTAAAGTATTTAAGTAGAGTTACCCGATAGCATGCACCACAGCCAGCTCCATTCTTCCATAACCCTGACACGCCTGCTACTCTGCCATCGTTTACCGTCTTGCCATAATAGCCAAAGCCACAAGCTCCCCCTAAAACATATTATCATTTGACCATTCATATCATTTAAGAAAAATGCATTTGTCATATTACATTATAAATGAATAGTTATTATGTTAAGAAAAAGATAAGATAATTTTATTGAATAATGTGTCTTCTCACTTTTTTAATATTATATAATTTATCTTTTTCTTAACATGACAACTATTTATTTGTCATGTAACATGACAAATGTATTTCCCATCATTTATATGTTTTTGTTACATAAATATAAAATTATTAATGTAGTTTCATTCAATAACATCAATTTTTAGATCAAAATAATTATTTACATGATATCAGAGCCTCCGTGAATAAACAGTTACAAGTTCAATTCTTAACGTCTCAATTTTATTAATAAAAATAATTAAATAATTAAATATTATAGAATGTTTCTGTTGAGATATATAGTCTCACATTGGTTGTATGTGCAACTAATGTAGAGTTTATAAGGCCTTGGACACTCCCACCTTTTGAGCTAGCTTTTGGGGTGGCGTATCCCAAGGTTCTTTACATGGTATCAGAGTTTGAGGTTCGATCCTCACCATCCCTACTTTAAAGTAGAATTAAAATAAAAGCACAAAAGGTAAACCAAAAATTGGGCCCGTGCATAATCCACGTTTCAAGCCCAAAGGGCTCTTGCGTGAGGGGGCGTGTTGAGATATATAGTCCCACATTGATTGTATGTGCAACTAATGTGGCTTTTATAAGGCCTTGGGCACTCCTACCTTTGAGCTAGCTTTTGAGGTGGTGTATTTCAAGGCTCTTTACCGTTTCTATAAAATAGTGTAATGTCTCTTGGAGGTAATAAATTTGAGAGAAGAGTTTGGAGGTGGTTGAAATATTATACAAAAAAAATTAAGTTTGGAATGCTCAATATAAAAATGTGTTTGGTCATGTATTATAAAATAAGAAAAAATAGAAATGTTTTTCGTACATACACTATATATAAGCAAGTGCAGGTACGGATAGAAGATGAGGATCACGTACTTGGATTTCCATAGCCATCTGGGCTACCGTAATAGGTTGCTCTGGAGGGCGTAAAATTGTCCAAAGAGGTACACATGGCAGGTAAGAGCAGTGTCACACAAACAAGGCCAAGTTGGTGCTTAAAATTAAGTTCCATGTTAAATGACAACTTGTCAAGCACAAAGAGGAGAGAAATGCAGCAAGTGTTCAGGAGTGATCAAGAGAAGGCTTAATTTATGAGATAGAAAGCAAAAATGTGGAGCCATATTTATAGGACAGGCTCGAGGTGTTAGCCTATTCTTTTTTTTTTTCTCCCACTTGGGAATATAAAGTATAGACAGCAAGAGGATTGGAATAAGGACGTGTCTGTGTAGACCCCTATGGTTGACCCCTCAAGGGCCAGGTTCATTATATACTAGAACCAGTTTATTATTACAATGGCAAAATGCCTTTGTTCTATTGTAACACTTGTCTTGGAAGATCGAGCCATGCACTTGCAGATTAACTCGATCAAGGATCGGGAACTTGGTAGAAATTTTAACAAAAGAAAAAAATACAAAGAAGATACTCTTCTATATAAATTGGTAGATACTCTTCTATATATTTTATGGAAAAAGTATTTATCTTTTTAAATAACACAACTTATATTCTTTCACTTTCACAAAGATATAAGATCCACATCTTTATATTTTTTATCCACTCTCTCTTCCATTTATCTATCTTTTTCTCTCACTTAAAATGACACAACTTTACATCCATTAAAATGATACATATTATTTCCATATTTTATCTTGTCCCGACCATTTTCCCTTTTTGAAATTTCATCTTACGACGCCCTTTTTTTTTAAAAAAATTCTCTTACCAAATTTATCGCAAATTCTATAATCTCGAGCGGCTCTTAAGATTATTTTCTCCATTTTAGCTTGATATGATACATTCAAACAACTAAGAAGGAAAGGAAGATGGAAATATGAAAAATACATAAAAATCTTAAAGTGTATTCGCATATCTACTGCGTACGTAGTACTAGTGTAAATGATATAGGAGTTTGTTGAAAAAAAAAGGTTTATGGTCTTTTATATTGTAAGAGATAAAATTATTTTCTATAGCTTATATTTTCTTTTTCTTTCTCTTCACTTCACATGACCCCATGAACTTAACACATTTTTATATTTGTGTAAGAGATAATTTTATTTTCTATAATACGAGAAACATTAAACCCTAATTTTTAAAGTGAAAATTTTTCAAACAACGAAGAGAAAAATTACAAGACCGTTGATCCATATCTTTAATTATAACAACAACAATAATAGGATTACAAATAGTTATTCTTCCATAGTATACCATTAAAGGATTACAAATAATTTTTTTGGGAAAAATTCAAAAATTCTCTTGTGCTATTGTTTTAAATTACTTACATATCTATTTTTTTATTAATTAATTAATTTCATCTGTTTTTCATCCATACCCATGCTTAACATTGTTAGGAAGATAACTTAGTATACCTATTTTACCCATTTTAGAAAAAAAAAGTGAAGTGGTAAAAAAAATAAGACCAAATATTATGAAATTTTAGAACACTTAATAAAAGATTAAATAAAAAAAGGAAAAAAATAAAATGTGTCTAAATAAAAAAAGAATAAAAAAAAATGGTCAAATATATTAAAAATCACAACAGTGACACAGAAAAGAATAAAATTTAAAAAAAAGTAGTCCAAAGAAAAAAAAATACTGATGACAAAAAAATAGAAGAAAAAATTAAGATAAAAAATAGAATAAAAAAGAAATAAACCAAAAAAAATCACAATTAGAGTTTTCAATATATTTGGTTTTATTTTTTATATTACTTTTTTATTTTTTCCTTGATTTACTTTTTTCTTTTTTCTTTAGATATGTTTGATCCTTTTTTTTTATTTGTTTTCACTTTTTGGTATATTTTATTCAGATTTTCTTATCCTTCTGTTTTTTAGTCTTGAGCCACACCACCTACTAAAGATTTTTGTAAAAGAAAAAATTAGAAAAAATAGAGAGAATGAGGTAGAGATATAAAAAAGACTAAACATATCTAAATAATAAGAATAAAATAGATCAAGGATAAAAATAAAAAATAAAAAAGATAAAAACAATGGGAAAAGTGTTTGTCATTTTAAATTACAGAAAATTATGTCATTTTAAGAGAGATACAAACACAAAAATTTGAATTTTAAATTAAAAAATCACTCACTTTCTCTCTCACATGATTTCCGTTTTTCTGTGTCTATCTCTCTCCTAAAATAACATAACTTAGGTCATTTAAAATGACAAACACCAAACTCAAAAACAATATATTAAAAATCCTGCGATTTCTTTTTGTTCTATTTTTCTATTTTTTTTTTATCCTAATTTTTTCTTCTATTTTTTTGTATTCCGTATATATATTTTTCATTTAGACTATTTTTTATTTTTAAAATTTTAATATTTTTTGTCACTGTTGTGATTTCTAACATATTTGATCTTATTTTTTCTTCTATTTTTTGTCCTTATTCTATTTTTTTTATTTAGACACATTTGATCTTTTTTCTTTTAGTCTTTTATTAAGTATTCTATGTTTTCATAATATTTGTTCTTATTTTTCTTTTTCTTTTTATCACTTTATTTTTTCTTTTAGGAAGGTAAAATAGATATATTTAGTCAAGTTTCTAACAATATCAAGGAGGGGGTGAACGAAAAAATCACAAGAATTTAAGTGATTAAAAAAAAAGTACAATGCATAAGTGATTCAAAACAATAGCACAAAGGAATTTTTGAACTTTTTCCTAATTTTTTCACCCTCTCAACGGATGAAATACAAAGTTTATCTCTCACAAGGACATATAGAGCCTGTTTGAATTTAGTTCTCAGAAAAAAAAAATTAATTTTCTAAAAAAAAAAAAACACTTGGTAATGACTGTTTTGTAAAAATAGTTTTAAAAATTATAATTGTTTTTAATTTTTAGAATCAAATTTAGAAAATATATCTAAATTGTTTTGGTTTTGTGTTTTTATTTTTAACTTTCAAAATACAAAATATACAAAAAACACATCTTTCATGCATCTCTCTCTCGTAGAGGATTATTCTGTCTCATCTTATTTATCCTATCTTCCCAAGGATTCTTTTCAATATTCTAGATTCTTCATTATTTAATATGGAGAATTTCAATACAACCTTTTATTCTTCTATCGACTCTTTTTATTTTTTCAAGAAATAGAAACTTGAGAAGACACTAACCTTTCATACTCCAATCATGTATTTAAGTAAGTATAAATAACTCCAACAAATTCTTTTATAAAGTCTTTTTATTTTTCCATTGCATAAAAATCTTGAGAAGACACTAACCTTTCATGTATCTAACTAAGAAGAAATAAAACTCCAACAGAATTTGATGTTTCCGTCGACTAAAAAAGACAGAAGCAGATTCGAAGAACTGGTAATTTTTGAATTAGCAAATTAAAGGATTATAGTTTTGGTTTTGAACTTATCTTAATGAGCATGTGGTTCAAGTCAAATATCTAATAATTGCGGAAAAGGCTTGACACGAGTAATATATCGCATTATCTTATAGAAGTTAACAGTTGGATTTTCTATAAGATACCTTGTCCCTTTTTTCCATCTCCGAATCCCGTTCTCGCTCTCCTCATAAAAAGCAAATAATTAATAATTAATTGTCAAAAGTAAGCTTGTTTGAATATATATATATATATATATATATATATATATATATATATATATATATATATATATATATATCGCATTATCTTATAGGGGTTTGCATTTATCATTTAACATGACACAACAAACTTTCTTACACACACAACATTTTGTGGGCCCACACTTTTTGAAGAAAAAACAAAAAACAAAAATTACAGCACGCAAAACGAATCTCTATAACATTACACAATCACTTTTCCTTATAACACCCACATATATATATATATATATATATATATATATATATATATATATGAGGTAGGATCCTTTGACACCAGTGTCAAATTTCACCTCATCTGAGAGTCGTTAGATAAAAAAAGATCAACGACTCTGATTTGTAAGCATGCGATACCATTGATCTTTTTTGATCTAACAGCTCTCAAATGAGGTGTCAAACTTCAAATTTGACACCGGTGTTAAATGATCCTACCTCTATATATATATATATATATATATATATATAGGGGTTTTGTTTTATCCTTTAACATAACACAACAAACTTTCTTACACTCCCAACATTTTGTGGGGCCCACACTTTTTAAAACAAAAAAATAAATAAAAAATTAAAGCACGCAAAACGAATCTCTATAACATTGTACAATCACTTTTCCTACAACATAACTCTTATAAAACCCATATATATATATATATATCTGTGTGTGTATGGGTAAAGAATTTCTCCTGTTAATAGAGATAGTTATCTCCAGTGAGCCCAAAATGACGTCCTTTTGGGACGAAAATCAAAGTGTTTTTGTAATTATAATATATTGCAGGATTATTTTAGTCTTTATCATTATAATTTTTTAATCTTATAACCTCAAAACGACATCGTTTTGAGCTCACTGGAGATAGCTTTATCTCCAGTGTCTGGAGAAATATTTTTCCCTATATATATATGGATTTAATGTTTCTAAAGTGAATGTAGATTAGTTATCTACATTCACTCCCAAAACAACGTTGTTTTGGGTTTAAAAATTAAAATATTATAATAAAAAAGACTATTATAACCCTGAAAGAAATTATAATTACGAAAATACCTTAATTTTTGCTTCAAAACGACATCGTTTTGGACTCATTGTAGATAAGTTATCTCCATTGACTGTAGAAAAAGAGAATATATATATATATATATATGCGATAGGATATTGTGACAACCAAATAATGTTACTACCAATGTTACTACCACATCTTAACCGTTGATTCGTCAATACTGATATCAAATTTTGAAATTTAACACAAAAATTTAACCTTTGATTTTTGTCAATCAACGTTTATTATTTATTGAGAATAAATTATTAATTAATATTAATTCCCAATAAATAAAAGATTAAATTTTGGTGTCAAAGTGTCAAAGGATCATATCTCGTATATATATATATATATATATATATATATATATATATATATATATATATATATAAAATGACGTAAACAACTAGATTAGATTAATTTATTTTATTCAATCCGATTCCAACGTCGGTTGTAACGCAGTAAAATATCTAACCGCCACGTTTGGTTCTAGCGCACCTAGTGGTGCACAGTCAACTCGGTTCTCGCCTATTCGTTAATTTGTATGAGCACAAGCTGTAACCCAATTCAACTTTTTAATGGCAAATCAAATCATCTTATTGTTTCTAATTATTATTATTATTATTATTATTTTTCTCTTTGTCATCATCATCAATATGCCACCTCATTTTATAAGTGTTGTACAATAGGAGTAATAGTTGCATAAAACAAAAAGGAGTAATTGTAAGTTCAAAGTGTCAATTATATTGATTCTGATTATCTTACGGTCGCATCCTTATTTTGCATATACATTCACTTGCATTATTATGCTAATTATAGTTGTCGACATACTTGCCTGTTAGTGAAAGTGTTAGTGTAAGTCACCCAATTATCTATACGAAGTTGCAAAGATAGAGGGAGAGAGATGAATGCTAAACTGGAAAATATCTATCAGAATTTTATAGTACTGAAAACTCAGTACATCTTTATTTAAATTTGAAAAATAGTAATATAATTAATTTTTATTTTATTTTTCCTATCCTTTTTATGATTATTCTCACATAAATTTCATCTTTGTCTTTTTCTATTTTTAGTAAAGAAATACATACTTTTGTAATATCAAAAACAGTGGCGGAACCAGCATGGCAGGTTAGCAAGTGTCAAAAAATTTAACTAGTGCCCAAATAGCTACGGTTCTATGGCTACAACCAAAATGTGGCTAATTTTCAAAAAAAATAAAACAGAATTTGCTACATTTGAAATGTAGCTAAATGTGGCTAAATAAACCAGTGCCAAGGCAACTGCTGGCACTAACATGGCTCCGCCAAATATGCTAGCTAAACAAGCACTTGTTGTTACAAACCGCAAGAGGATAATCCTATGTTCTCCCCGTTTGCAAGAGCTTGACTTATATTGTTAATGAATATTAAAAGGTAAATAATTTAGAGTTTAATTTTAGATCAATAGATCAGATATAATACTAGTACAACTGAGTACTAACACAACCTTTAGCAATATGGTCCACTCCATTCTAAATTAATTTTGGCCACACTTCTTCTGCACGGATGCATATTAAGCATTGCTATGATTTATTTTTGAATAAATCATCTTTAATATATTGATCACACCTGACATATTTGTAAGCTATCATATTTCTTTAAGTTTCAAAACTAAATACTTGCTACAAAGGACATTAACGGAACATATAGTTTTGGTACCTCTTTAACATATTAACATTTCTACCAAAAACAAATACTCACACTCCCACTTAATTTCTGTGTTGATTTTGCCTACTCTTTCATAACTTCGTGTATATATTTAAGGTTAATATTTCTCTAAGTTGCATGAGAGAGATATATTTTCCTACACTCACATAGTTACTTTGATAATTGAGCTACTATTTTATTTTATTTTTTCTCTTGGTGGGCCCCACAATTGTATGTAAGTGTAGAAAAATATTTTTCTCTTATGCAACTTGAGAGAAACATTATCCTATATTTAATGAAAAATATGTTTTCATATTGCTTGAGTCAATTTTTTCTCATGTAACATACAAAAAAGTGAATAAAATCCTCTAAAAAAATAAGAAAAAAAGAAAAGAAAAAGCTCTCATTTACTTTTTATGTATGCATAAGATAAAATTATTTCATATAACACGATAAACATATTTTTCATATTTAACTTTTGTCTTTTTGTATAATTGTTCACTTTCTTTTATAATGTTTTTCCATTTTGTTTTGCGTTAACCTGAATTTCACGCTACTTTTTTTTTTTTTGGTAAACACATGCTACTTTCTTATATGGTAAAGAATTTTTAATTACTGTTAGAAATATATAAAATTATTAATATAAGCTCAGTTAATAACTTAAATTTTTAGGTTGAATTAGTTCTTCATATATATATATGGGGAGAGATCTTTTAACTCTAAAGTAAGACTTACAACTTTTACTCCTGATCTCAGCCCTTATTTCCCTTAATATACCATTAATGGTTAATTGACTTTCGTTTTTTTCTTTTTTTTTTTTCTTTTTTCTTTTTTGGGTAATTGAGATTCGTTCTTGTCCGGTTATAGTACAGTTCGGCAGCTAGTCTTAGAGATCCTCCATATTTCCGCAGACTGTTAATTAAGTCAGCAAGTCTTTCCAATAACATAGATATTATTGGAGCTACCAATAAGTTTTCAGCACTACACGCAATTCACCATTCTGGTTAAGATCGAAGTGCTGTCTTTTCCTTTACTGTCAAACAAAACCCCAATCTAAACTAAAGAAAACAACAAAAATACTATAGCATCACTTTCCTTCAGTAGTTGACAAACCACTTTAATTAAACGGCTAATAACTTCTCCGGTTGCAGGAGAAGGTACTAGCCTTTTACTAGATACAACCAAATATGCATCCTAGAGAAGAAAAAAAAAATTTAAAATAAAAATTGCATTGTTCTTTTCCAAAGGAGAGCATGGCCATAAGAACTCCTTTTCCCTTAATTAAATAGTGCAAAAAAGACATGTTCATTTTTGCTCTCTGAAGGACCATCGTTTGTGCAAGGCTCATAATTTCATTGTCTCCCTTCCTCACACTTATCTCCACCACGTGTCCAGAAATAATCAGCCAAATAGGGTGAAATTATTATGGTGCTTCAGAAGTACCATTCACTCAAAGAGACAAACCAATTAAAAATGATAAAAAAATGTGATTGTATACGGAATGAAGAGAAGGAAAAAAATTAATCCAAATATCACATTTTTAATAAAAGGAACATACCCTCGAACACTGAAAGTTCTCTTCAAGTAAGGATAGTTGTGGGCTAAAATCAATCCAAACACAAAGGTAAGTACTATAGAAATTGTGGCAGGAGAAACTTTCGTGTGTGAAAGAAATAATCCAAAATATTAAGATATTAGATATATGAATCCTTCAATTTATATCACGATGCTCACTTAATCAATTTTTAACCAATATAAGATTTCATTTCTTTCAGACTTGAATTTCCCTAAAATAATTTATGCATGGTGTAAACTAATACACCAAACAGCCCAAGCAACAACGTCGGTTATACGTGTCATTTCTCCTATTACCTTTCTTTTTCATTTTTTGGGTGGAAAGAATAATTGCATGGGGTAACATGGCCATGAAAAGAACAAGCAATATTGCTATACTATTCATCAAGAGCCTACTTATTATTGCACCTAGTAGTGGAATAGAGAGGAATAGAAACTAGAGAGATTGTGGATGTCACTGTAAATAGAAATTTATATTAGTACTTGTTCTTATTTTTAGTTTTTATTCTTCTTAAAAATAGAATAGAAGTTTAACCAAACATAATTTTATAAAAATTCTTAATTATAATTTTTTTTTTATAATGAAGAAAATATATAGCTAAAGGTTATACCACCTAGGAATAGTTTTTTTTTTTAAGATGTAGGGTAGCTTTTTGCCATCCTCATATTTGTTTTGCAATTTTACCCTTATTCTAACTTTAGTTATAAATTTTATCCTTTATCTTAATAATTCATCATAATAACAAATTATTTCATCTTTCCTCCTTCAAAACCATCAAAACATTTTTATCTTTTACCCTTATAATTCATCCTAATAACAAATTATTTTATTCTTTACTGTAATAATTATTCTAATAAAATTATTAATGTAACCTCACCTAACAACTTAATTTTTTAAATTAAATTGATTCTTTACAATTCCCTTATTCAAGACACTGCTCGGCCATGAGCCCATGACTAACTATACGGTAAACCGCTCCGGAGTCGGGAAACGATGCTGGATTGAGACCCGAAGGCCGGTATTTATGGCCAGAGAAAACGACATTGAAATGAATGCTCTTGGGCTTCTTTAGCAACAGTCACCATAGCCCATTAGGACTCTTGGGCTACCTATATGGTGCGCCCTATCTTTCAAACACAATCCTAAGGGGACAAAAGTCAGTACGGCCCATTTATGGGATAGTTGGGTATGGATGTGGAACCATCGCAAATAAAATATTTACAAGTTTGATGTTTTTCATTTACAAATAAAATAATTTTATCTCCTATACATACATAAAATATATAAAACCCATATTAGGCTATTTGAGAAGAAGAAAGAGAAAAAGAAAATGAAACAAGTGTGTATCATTTTGAAGCACACAAAGTTGTGTCATTTTAAGTGAAAGAAAGATAAATCATGGAAGAGAGAATGCGTGGGAAAAGTTTGAAACGTGTGGGTCTCACCTCTTTATGATAGTGAAAGGATATAAGGTGTGTCATTTAAAATGACACTTTTTTCCCAAAGAAAATATATGTATATATATATATTGCTACATGAGACTAACTTAATCCTATATATATATATATATATATATATATATATAAGGAAATGATCCGTTTATAAAATTTTTTTACAAATTACACTAAGTATGACCGGTCATACACTCTTGATCGAAGTATGACCGGTCATACTTAGTGTAGTTTGTAAGAGTTTGTAAACAAAAAATTTGTAAATATAACCTTATATATATATATATATATATATATATATATATATATATATGAAAATTGATCATCTCATGTGGAAAAAAGAATGATATGATCATATGAGAAGATCACAATCATATAAAATTGAATCAACGATTATGATTTTGTAACTATCTATTTTAGTATTTTTTTCTCTTTTTTTCTTTATTATCATTGATCCACCTTTATATGATTATGATTCCACATGACCATGTCATGTTTTTTCTACATCAGAGGATCCAGATCCGTAGAGACACTTTATTTAAAAAAAAAACAAACAAACTCAAGAATCAATGAGAATACAAATTTAAAATTGAATTAATGAAGTAATACAATATTGTAAAATTACAACACAATAATTAACCACATGAGTGAGATAGAGAAATGTTAATAACTCAATAACCAGTTTTCCACGAACGGGAAAGCCCTTATAACTCCGTTATGCAGAATCGAAATAATAGACGACTAAAATAAATTGTTAGTACCTTTTGTACAAATGAATTGTCCTAATTAGCCTCACAATAAAGTTGGATATTTAGCATCTAGAAATTCTCTAAGAGTCCGAGCAGCTTTATGACCACCCATTAATTCCGCCAGCTTCTCTACAGGAAGAAGTGCAAGTTCTGCCAAGCTCTTACACCCATCCATTATGGTCCTGTAGTTCGAATCAGTAACACCTGGCAGTCGTCTTAGAAACTCCACAGCCGATGTATTGTAATTTTCAGCCCTGTGACACAGCAATAAACCACTAAATTTATATCACGAACAGAAAATGAATAGTGCATAAAACTCATTAATGACACAATTTGATATGAAGTCTTAGCTCTGCAGTTCTAACATTTATGTAGTAATGCATAGAGAACCCATGCATATTTCATAGACCTTGAAAAAGCATACGATAAGGTTTCAAGGAAAATTTTATGGTGGGTTTTGGAGAAGAAAAAGGTATCATCAAAGTATGTAAAGGCAATCAAGGATATGTATGATAGGGCTATTACATGTGTGAAAGCTTGTAATGGAACATCAAGTTATTTTCCTATCATGGTAGGTGTATACCAAGGGTCGGCTCTAAGTCCTTATCTCTTTGCCTTAGTTATGGATGAACTAACAAAAGATATTCAAGAAGAAGTGCCATGATATATGCTTTTTCATAGACCTTGAAAAAGCATACGATAAGGTTTCAAGGAAAATTTTATGGTGGGTTTTGGAGAAGAAAAAGGTATCATCAAAGTATGTAAAGGCAATCAAGGATATGTATGATAGGGCTATTACATGTGTGAAAGCTTGTAATGGAACATCAAGTTATTTTCCTATCATGGTAGGTGTACACCAAGGGTCGGCTCTAAGTCCTTATCTCTTTGCCTTAGTTATGGATGAACTAACAAAAGATATTCAAGAAGAAGTGCCATGATATATGCTTTTTGCAAACGATATTATGCTTATTGATGAGAGCAAGGATGGTGTTAATAGAAAACTTGAATTGTGCAGAAGCACATTGGAATCTAAAGGATTCACATTAAGTCGAAGCAAGACTGAGTATCTGAAGTGTGAGTTTTCTCTGGTAAGAGATGTAGACCAAGATCCTGTGCATCTAAGTGGTCAAGAGGTACCCAAGAAAGACGCTTTTAAATACCTGGGCTCGATTTTGCAAAAAGGTGGAGAGATTGATGGAGATGTAAATCATAGAATCAGAGCAAGGTGGATGAAATGGCACAGTGCATCTGGATTTTTGTGTGACCGCAAAATCCCCCTTAAATTAAAAGGAAAATTCTATAAAACAGCAGTAAGACCTGCAATGCTATATGGAGCTGAATGCTGGCCAGCACATAGGCAACATGAGCATAAAATGGGAGTAGCAGAGATGAGGATGTTAAGGTGGATGTGTGGTTATACGAGGATGGATAAGATAAGAAATGAAGATATTCGACAAAAGGTAGGAGTACTACCGGTGGCTGAGAAGATGAGAGAACATAGATTGAGGTGGTTTGGGCACGTAATGAGAAGGCCCCTGGATGCTCCCGTAAAAACAGAAGTTTATTACCAAGAGCTCAACACAAAAAGAGGTAGAGGTAGACCGAAACTTACTTGGGGGAAGGTAGTAAAACAAGATTTAATAGAATGGGATATAGATTGACGGACGGTATGCCTTAGAACGGAATAGAGAAAAGCTATAAGCATGGTGGAGGGTTAGACTCGTTGTTATTCCTATGTTTCAGATGGTCCCCTTTTAGTCTTTTTCCTCTTCATTTCTCCCTCTTCTTCTTTTCCCTTTCTTTTTTACTTTATATTTATATATATATATATATATATATATATATATATATTATTACAATTCTATTTATTTATTTTTATTTTTATTTTTATGTTTCTTTTTTCAACTTTTTTGTATCTTTCATTTGGATTCATCTACCACCGATCCCAATTAATTTAGAATAAATGTGTTGTTGATGTTGATGTTAAATGTCATAAACCAATATCAATTGAGACCTGGAGGCTAGAGGTGCGCATGCCTGGCTTTATAATTATGGGAGAAAGCAACTCGTTAATGTTTCATATAATAAATTAATAACTCATTCATATGCAGCAGATCCATGTGATCCACTTCCTGTAAACCCACACGTTTTCCCTTCATCCTTGGAAGCACAAAGCAAAATTTGAAGTTTCAACTATGAAAAAGCAACTTACCGCACATCATTTTCCACAATTCCTTCTTCCGAGGGGACACCTACTCTGATTGCTTTTGTTTCATCTGGTTCATCTTGATTTGCCTTCAGGGAAGCAAATATTTCTGAAGTAGCACGCAAACTTCGAGACCATATTATTCGCAGCCGGGGAAAGTGTAGAGCAAGCAATGACAACTTTGATATAATGCTATTGGGTGTGACATCATCACCAATATCACTAGCAGACTGGAAAAGATATCCATGAAAGATCTAATGTCATTCACAATTCCACAAAACAAAATGCTTATCTAATAGTACTATTACTCCTTTATGCTGTGCAAAACAAGAGAAATTTATCGATATTTGAACAATCATTTCTCTTAAAGCCAAAGAAACAACAATACTTCCTATCCGCACAGCCAAGTCGGACTAAAATTTTAATATTATGCGCAGGCCTTCCGTGCCCAGAAATTGGTATTTGTTTGAACCAAAATATTAATGGCAAGCATTCTTAGTAATGGGCTGCCTGACAAAACACACCCTCCCTCTTATGTGGACGTTATTAATAATAAGAAGATGAAGACAGTAAAAGCAGAGAAGATAGATTTGTGTTGTGGTCAGCAAACCTGGAATGAAAAGCTCTTATCCTGTGAAAACTCAATCAAGAGTACAGGTATCCTATAATATCGCACCATTGTCTCCACCTGGTGGTATAGACGACCTGACGTGAAGCTCATAAAGAGATCTTGAATACTTTTTCTTTCCACACAAATTAATGGTGATAGGATATAGTCACCAACTTCTAGGGTCACTGGAATAATGCGCATTCCCTTTTGATGAAGAACATTTGGAAGGCTGCTCATGAACTCCCGCATGTCCACAATGACCTGAAATGTTGAAATTTGCAAACTATAAATTCCCTGGTAAGTATATGAGGCATAGATCATACATCACACATAAAAAATATAACAAACCTGCATTTCTTTATCAACCTCCTTTCTCCCACCTGCTTTTCTGGTCATTGAGTTTTGAGGAGTATTTAAATCTGACTCTAATGTAGAATTCAATCCTAAACTATGCCCACTCTGATTAACAGCAGGCAAAATGCACCAGTCGAAAAACAAAGAAAAATGAAATCACCAAATCAGTATTTGACAACTTACTACTCTCCATCTTGCTTTACTGAAGGCAACCATGTCCAGAACAATGGAAACCAAGAAGCAACCAAACACGAAAACAAAAGAGGGAAAGAAGAAAAACTTAACAAACCTGATCAACTGGAATCATCATCATAGATTTTTGCCTGATCAAAGATTCAAATGCTCCATTCTCTCTACGTATACTTGCCTCAAATTTCTGAACCTCAGTTGAATCTTCATAGAAAATAAAATATACTTTCAACCTTTTTGAGGGATTCTCAGCTTTGTAGACTTCAATTTCCCTAACAAAGGCCATGTCTGGATGGTAAACAATGATTATAGAGGGCTTTAATATGTCGAGTATAGGCTGATCACTTTCTAGGGCATAAAAATGTACCGGTGGCAATGGCTTCCCATTTCTTGCTACAGCATCAGGATTAGTATGCCTTCGAAGAACTACGTTATCTACAGATGTCCCACCGTGCATGGTTTCACAAAATCTACCACCACTGACAGGATTAGTTTCATCTACATGGACTTTATTTTTTGAATTAAACATCCCAATTTCATCACTGGTCAATTCCTCTTTATTATTGTTCTGAACTCCAGAGCCAATGATTGGGCTATTTCTATTCCCCACTTTTCTCTTTCCTTTTGCACGACCCCGTCCACCAAAATCAGGCTGAGGAGCATCTTCAACAACAAGATCATTTTCAGCAAGATTTCTTACATCTGAAGCTGCTGCCAGAAGTGCATCATGTTCCTGCTTACTAATGCCGCTGGTTTGCGCATTCTGAACAGGTGCTATGGGAGTAACTCCATCAAGAATCCCAAAACCTTTTGGATCCTTTGGCTTCTTCTTTTTATGCACAATGTCACGCAGCTGTACTTTGTTTAGTAAGTACTTCTTCCATTCTTCACGCATGACCTTCACAAACACCGAACAATATACAGGATATGAAAGTCAACTTCTTTAAGTCTTAAAAAAACCTACAAAAAGAAATCTAGACCTGCAAACCTCCACCGTAACCACAAAAATAAAGCACCAAGCTATATAAAGGATATATAGCACAATAAGGAACTTGTAATAGCATTCTATAACAAGCACATAGAAAAAGTGGAAAACCATCAGAATCAATAATAAATCACACTGAAGATGAACAAAATAAGAATGGCTGCTTCAATGGCCTTACAGCCCTTCATTACAGACCAGTAATTCATCACAAGTGCACATCCATCAGTACGGTTGAACATGAGTTGCCAAAATTCAGTCAAATGCTGCTACCGATGAAAGCCGAGTTTGTAGAACCAGATGACTTCCATTCACATATTTTGTGCACTTAATTGGGTGCATCCATGTCTCAATATGCTATAACCGCTTTTTATAAATCCAAGGCAATCATATCACTCATCAGCATCGCACGGTGCAATAAAAAAGAAAAACCAAGGACCAAAGTTCACAGGTAAAAAAGTGAGTTGGAGATTTTCTGTCTCCCAACCTCCCTCTAAAATCTTGTAGTCACCTAGTTATTGATGGGCCTAGGATAATTAATGATGGGCCTGAGATAATTAGTTAGTTAATTAGAGAGTTATTCTATAATATTCTCAAATAATAGGATATACGGAGTGGAGAGTGGGAGTGTGAAGGAAGCATGAAATCAAGCAAATGGTAAATGGGGTTTCGGGAAAGGATCTCTAGGGATCTCTTGAGGCCTAGGTCTTTAGCTTTGAGGGTGAGTTGAAACCTTTGGAGTTTATCTTTCTGCATTGTTATTTCCAATATTTCTATATTGTAATTGAGTACTGTGAGTCTTATTTCTGAGTTAGGTAGTAGTATCAAGTAGTAATGTGTTGTTGCTAATTGTAAAGGGGAAACCCATGTCTCAGTTTATATTAATCGAATATACTGTCATTTTTAGTTAGTTTTTGCTATTAATTGTTTGGGGTTCCATCAGTTATCCAACTATTGCAATCAACAATGCCAACGTATTCCAGAACAGGAATAAGCACAGAATTGGTCTGGCTAAGTTGGGCTATGTGCAATGAGCTGATGAGCTAGTTGACCATAAAATTTTTATATTTATCACCAATTAAACTGACTGAAGAACAAAGTAAAAATAGCCCCACTCAGATTACACTTAATAAGATGACCTGTCATGGGTGAGAGGGGGGGGGGGGGGGGGGGGGGGGAGAACAAACCTTTTTCGAACTATTAGTGATGCATTCTTCAAGCTGCAAGCATGACCGTTCATCTTTACATGCCACTAATACACTGCCATTGTCGGTGTCTTCACCTTCAGTCAATACTTCTTCCCTTAACACACCTTGCTTTTGTCTTTCCTCCTCTACCTCCTCAAGAACCTCCTATAATGATATGATCGTATCAAGATTCAGTCCAAACTATTCAACATTCATCAAATTCAACTATTTTTTCCAAAACCCTCTTCAGACCATCCTATTTTGAAACAACAAATAGGCTAAAAAAATATGAATCGAAACAATGACATATTAATGTCTGTCTTACATATCAAATGAAATAAAATGAACATAACCCAGAGACTTTGTAGAATTGGAACTCACTAACTCACACGTAAGACCTTCCACTTCGGTGCTTCTTCCAAGACTTCCTCCAAAACTAAGCCAGCATTTGAACTTGTTGATGAAGTACCATCAACTGCTACACAAGCATTCAAAATAAAAATTAAGCTGAAAATGCTTTCCATAAGCTTGGCATGGCACAGCTCATTTCTTTTTCTCCTCTTTTTATTTGTTAATATTAATTTGTCTATATAATGAAGTAATGTAACAGAATCATGATCTATGCCAGAATAAAGCACCAAAGAAAGCATAAGAATAAGCTTTAACCTTCTTCAATGTTGTTCTTATCTCCCTTAACTTTTCTCTTTTTGTTTTTGACACCCTTAATCATCCCATTTAATTTCACACCATCTGACCTCACAAGATGAAAAACACGTTTCTTTGCATAGTCAAATATCTTATAGCTCGCCTCTGCAAATATCCAAACAGATCGAAAACTCTCTGACACTCTCAGAGTATCCAAATATTTCAAGTACGTCACTGCATCATACCTACCAAGAGGAAGCCACACAGTATAAGCACTATAAACTTCAGATGAATAAACCAAAGATTTGCAATTAATAGATAAATCCAACAAACTACTGGGGTTACAATAATATATTAATACATGCAATGAAAGACTAAACACCAAACCAAAAAAAAAAAGAGAAAAGGAACCTGACTAGATAATCCAACAATTTCCTCAAGGTCTTAAGGTCTGAGACCAGCTGCTTAGTCTTTTTCCCCAAAGTATGCCAAATTGGATCCAACTGCCTCCTCACAATCTCATCAAACGACTTGAACAACCCATTCTCCACCGTCAAATCCTCCACGTCAACCTTATTCGTCTTCCTCACCTCCTTCAAGCACGCATCCATAACCTCGATGATGGCTTTCTGAATCCCCACCATGTACTTCGTCATCGGCACCCTTATATCCACCACATTCGGTGGATCCTTCTCCAGTTCCTGCGAAACGTACACCTGAAACCTCGGCCACAAGTGCAACCTCCGTACCTGCAAGCACTTCATGGTTCGCTCCGCCTTCGCGAACCCCGACACCATCGCGTGTGGCTTGTCGGAAAAAGCCCGCACGTACGCATCGCGGTTGAGAGACCTGAAAATCCTAACTATGAAGGCTTCGGTGGATGTCTCTGACAGCGAATGCGCGTTGAGGATGATGATTCCAGAGATTTTGGAGGTTGGTAGTTTGTTCGTTAAGAGGTCCACGATTAGGATTCTCGGCGTGATGAAGAATATGTTGCCGGAGGAGTAAAGGGCGTGGCGGTGGTGAGCGGGAAGCTCGGCAGTGATTTCGGCGGGAATTTGATTGAATTTGGGGTTTAGGGTTTTGAGGTTGAAGGTGATTCTTGATTTGAGACACGCGGAAGATGGAGAGAGGATGAGGAGCGTGCCCTGAGAAGAGGAGTGCAGAAGGAGCATAGAAGAGACAAGCTTCGAGAGAGAGAGCCCTGAAGAAAGGATGACGAGGCCACCATTGGAGTCTTCTAGAAGCTCTGTGATTATGTGCTCGTGAAATTGAACCATTGATCGCGTTTCCAACTTCAATTTGGTTACACTCCGTACATAAACACAGGGGAACGAGGGTTTGCGCGGTTAGTTACAACTTACAACTTGGAACCGCGAAATCTACTTTCAAGAGTCAAGAGTGTTAATTTGGGTTTGGGCTTGGGCTATGTCATTCGTCCATTAACCAAAATTTACAACCTCCCTGTTTTGTCGATTTGGATTGTGATTGGGTCGGCCCGATCATTTTACAAGGCTTCGATGAGTAGTTTAAGGGTGTGCAAAAAAACTAGTTCACTTGTCCTGCCTTGACCCGACCTTGACCTGACCCATAAATACTTATATTTTTTGAACTGGTTTAAATACTGACCCACTTTTATTTGGGTCAGTTTTAGACCTGACTTGTTTTAATATTGACCCAAAACTTGACTCATACCTATTATGTGAAAAAAAAAGAAAATCACAATTACATTAAAAGAAAAGTTTTAACGTAAAACTATTACGTCAAAAAATTTTACGAAAAATATTTCCATAAAAAAATTTCGAAAATTTTTTTGACGAAAAATATTTTCATCAAAATTTGTGACTAAAAATATTTCTGTAAAAAAATTTGACGAAATATTTTTTTGTCAAATTTTTTTACGGAATCTAAATTTCGTCAAAATATTTCACAAAAAAATATATTCATCAAAAATTTCGACGAAACACATTTCCATCGAAATATTTTGACGAAAAAAAATTTCATAAAAATTCTTTACAGATTTTGAATTTCGGCGAAAGTTTTAAACAGAAACATTTTCATTAAACTTTTTGACAAAAAAAAAAATTCGTCGAAATTTTTAGCGAAACACATTTCTATCGAAAATTTTAGACTAAATATTTTGTCAAGTTTTTTGATAAAAAATATTTCCATCAAAATTTTCAACGGAACGCATTTCTGTAAAATAATTTCGTAAAAATTTTTTACAAAATATATTTCGATAAAAATTTTGACGAAAAAAATATTCTGTCAAAATTCTTTAGAGAATATAAATTTCGTCGAAAGTTTCGAATGAAACATTTCCCTCAAAACAATTCCCATCGAAAATTTGGACGAAACACATTTCCATCAAAAAAATTTGACGGAAAAAAATTTCATCAAAATTCTTTACAGATTTCAAATTTCGGCGAAAGTTTTCGACGAAAAAATTTTCGTCGAAATTTTTAGCGAAACACATTTCCATCGAAAATTTTCAACTAAATATTTTCGTCAAGTTTTTTGATAAAAAATATTTCCATCAAAAATTTCTACGGAACACATTTCTGTAAAAAAAAAATTTCGATAAAAAATATTGACGGAAAAAATATTCTGTCAAAATTCTTTAGAGAATCTAAATTTCATCGAAAGTTTCGAATGGAACATTTTTCTCGAAACAATTTCCGTTGAAATTTTTGTCAGAACAGATTCCCATCGAAATTTTGAACGAAAAACATTCCGTCAAAATTTTTGATAGAATTTTTTTTCGTTTAAAACATTTGATGGAAGAAATCATTTTCATCAAAACTTTTAACAGAAACTAAATTTCGATAGAAAATTTATTTTTGTAAAAATTTTCATTAGAGAAAAAATTTCGTTGCTTTTCGAAAAAAAGTATTCCGACGAAAAAATAATTTTGTGACGAAATTCTCATCATTTGCAATGTAGAAATTTCGACGAAATTTTGTGAGGAAACCAAGTCAAAAACGGGTCAGGTCAGATTTGACCCACTTCAGAAATCAAGTCAGACCCAGTTCAGAAACCAAGTCAGGTCAGATCCGATCCAGTTCTGAACTAGTTCAACAAAATCCAAACCAAGTCAGACCTGACTTGGATCAAATTAAAGCGGGTCGGGTCACAATACCTGACCTATAAAAACCAAGTTGGGTCGAGTCGGACAAAAACCTGACCCAACCTGACCCACGCACAGCCCTAGAGTTGCTTTACAATTAAAAATTGCATAAAATCAATCCATCTCGAACTCCGGATTAGTTTTATAAGTGTCTCAAAGAGTCGAACTGTGAAAATAACACAGGGGGTCTGATTTATCTCAAAAAGATAATCAGGATCGGTTACCAAAAAAAAAATTGCATGACAAGTTTAACAGGGGTCTACGACTCAACCCGTGTGAAGTCAGACTCAGTCTATTATATAAGATCATATAGAACAGGCTCATACTTTTAAAACAACTTATTTAAAAAACATGCTATAAATTTTCTTTTACATGTCGGACTTATAAAGTCAACATATATCATATTATTTATTTTAAATAAAATTATTATTTTAATAATTTGAAATAATAAAGTAATATTATTTTAATTATTGAATGTCCAATAGGTTTAAACAAGCTAATAGACATAAGCCAATGTTTTCATTTTTTAAATAAGGAAAAAATGTGTGTCACTTTAAATGATATAAAGTTGTGTCATTTTAAATGAGAAAAAGAGATAGATCATAAAGAAAAGAGAATGACAAAAAAAATGTGCATCTCATCTCTTTGGGAGAATGAAATGACTCATTTAAAAGTACAAATATTTTTTCCTCTAAATATAAATCAAATCACACTTATAATTTATATTTACACAAAACTAACAAATCAATGCAAGCCTAAAACTCATCGCAGCCGATTTATATCCGCGCATCCAATCAAACTTATACTTAATTAGAGCCGACAACAAGCATCTCGCATATTCTCCGCCGTAGACGTACTGTTTAAATTTAGTAAACGACCGTGCATGCATATGAAGAAAGGCATGTGAAAAACATTAGTTTTTGTTTAGAAAAAAGAGAAAAGAAAACACGTGCTGGAATTACTAAAAAGAAAAAAACCAAACATGAATGAATGACCGAATGAATGACGTGACAAAGCAAGTGGACTTGTCAACAGCAACTAAAGCAGCTGTCTTTAGAAAAACAAAGACCCATATATTCCTCGTGCTTTAATTCAATTCAGCAAACTTATAAAACAAGATAAGCTTCAATTCTCTTCATTCTGTGTGTCAGACATCTTCTTCTTTGAATTAGATTAATCATGATTTCTTCCAAGTTTTGCAGTGTAAATAAGCCTGTGACTAAGGAGCCAAAAGGTGCACAGTTGACAATCTTTTATGGTGGCCAAGTTATTGTCTTTGAAGATTTTCCAGCTCACAAAGCCAAGGAGATCATGTCCTTTGAAAGCAAAGATATCTCTAAAAGCCAGGATAACTATGGTTATGCATTCTCTCAAAGCCAACCCTCATTTCATGCTAATACAGTCAGAAGTTCTGGTAGTTCCAGTAGTTTATTTCCTTTTCCTATGAATATGAACCCTAGCACTGGCAACAGTTCCGTTCAAGAGCATCCTCAAGCACCGTCCAGACATGTTGTTTGTGGTAAGTACTTTTTGATCTTTAATATCTGAGATGATGGGAGATTTGTATAATGTTTTATGCATTTCTGATTCATGTCTTTCCTTTTTATTCAGATCTACCAATTGCAAGGAAAGCTTCACTACATCGGTTCTTGGAGAAAAGAAAGGATAGGTAGGCAAGCTGAACTTCCTATACTTCTTTCTTAGTAGTATAAGAATCAAGGAAACTGATTAAAGAGTTGCGTTGGTGTTTGGACTCTTGTTTCTTTCTTTTGCAAACAAAATCTCCCTTTGCCTCATGGGAAATTTGATACATTAACAAAAGTAAAAGAACCAACTGCAATACATTTGTTTTCATCTTAAAACTATATAAATTGACCTGTTTTTGATCCAATGTTTCTGCAGAATCGCTGCAAAAGCGCCATATCAAATAAGCAATCACATGGCAGCACTTAATAAGGCAGCTGAATCCATGTCATGGCTCGCCTTGGCACCTAAATCACCACAAGACAAATCTGAAAGTAGCTCCAGCGTTGTGTTATTTTGACTATTTTTGTTGCACGCAATTGGACATTTTATGACCTTCTCGGCTAGCCCCGTGTTACTTTTTCAGGGTCCTATGCTCACAATTATGTAATTGTGAATGTAGTTGCTTATCCTTAGTATTACCATAATTAAGAGGGTAGTTCTAGTTTGGTTAGCTTAATTAGAGATCAGTTCGATTACTTTTGTTGGGTCAATCAGTTTGTTTCATTTAATTGGTTTTCTACTAGTATGTAAGATTGTAAGCCACACTTGGCTATTGTGTAATAACATTGTATCGTTCAGCAGATTTCACTTCCCTCCGAGGCTCTCGCATTCCTTCTCTCAATTTATCCTAGTGGATGTACTGTTTCTCACCGCAATGTATGGTTGATTCCAAAATTGTAGCTCACGAATTATTAAAAAATTTAGTTGTTTTTATAGGTTTATAAAAATAAAATCGCTAATTACATAACCCACACAAACTCACATTACACCTGCTTATACTGTAGAATTAGAGTATACATATGCAGAAAATAAAGTGGATTGAACATTAAGCAATGAAAACTGTGTAAATGTGAAGTGTGGATCGAACATTCAAATATGAAATTATGCGTATGTGTATTTAGAATTGTAATAAATGATGTCTTTGTATTCATTATAATCTTTCAGCATCATAAAGCTTTGAATTCCCTTTCTTAAGCCTTTCTCAACATAAAATTCATTACTTCCAGTTGTGGTAAACATTCATCCGAAAAAAGTATAAACAAAATAAAATAAGTGAAGAAGATTGCCAAATAAAAAAAAACAAAAAAAAACACAGTGAAGATGTCACAGCAAACGTTATATCAACATGACGTGAAAGCAGAATAAAATATATATAAGCTTTGGAGCCAAAAGAATTGCAATTGTACATGCACCAATAGCTTGTTTCGAATTTTCAATCTTCGTGACTTTTCTTGATTCTTCGCAGCAACAAGGGAACAGGTTTTTCCAAAACGGACACGTTAACATTGTTCCAAACATCAGATACTGTGGGGAGTGTAGCAATTCTCTCAGCAATATTCAAATCTTCTGGAAGAACAGAACCAAAGACAGTGTATTCATGTTTCCATTCTTCATGGTCAGCTAGGCTAATAAAGAAAGCTGGGCCTGAACCAATCCAAGCAACTGAGCCCCTTCTAATAGTTGGACAATCTTCCACGGGAAGTGCATTGAATGTTGTGCCTTGAGCTTCTAGCATCCCTTGAATTAATGCATAAGGGGGACCAAAAGCAGCCTGGAATATAAGTACTCATTTACTATCATCCAACACTACAAACATTATGGCTTGCATTGAGACCATGAATATGCAAATAAATTCTTTTTTTATAATGGGAACAATATGTAAATGATGTCAACAGAAGTATAATATTTTTATCTAATATCATTTTTTTTTTGGAAGAAATAAAAAAAGTAGTCTTGAATACAAAGTTAAAATGTATCAAGATTTCTAACATAAGCATGAAGTCAAGTCCCCAATTTTCACCTACTCCATATGAGAACAAAGAAATGGAAAGAAATAAATCTTAAAAGGGATTGCTGATTTAACGAAAATATATGAAAAGAGGGACATTGAAATTCATTTTAACACTGATATTTCCAGTAGCTATGCACGGATTATAAGATGTCTATTTCTCTAAGGATTCCTATTCTGCAAAAGTGCAAACATGTCTCATGCTTGATCTATGTAAATTCAGATTATCGATTGAATTGTTATAGAGACCCACCCAAGATTAAGGATACTGTACAATGCATTACATGGGATCTTGTTATCCTACCTAATGTCGAGTCAGCTAGTAACCAGTTGGCCAGGAATATTCTAGAATGGGTTCAACAGAATTCAGTTGGGGGAATGAGAGACTGACAGAGGTGGTTAAATAATTGAGGAAGATCTTGAAAGAATTATCTGGAGTCTTGGCTAGAACTTGGGTAGGGAGAGTGTATAGCCTCTTCAATTGCCATTTTCTGTTTCGTGTAATTTCCCTGACACTGTTCTATTAGTCAAGACTTGTATCTCTCTTAATAATTCCATGTACTGTTGAGAAAATTTTCAGTAATACAAATATCAGTTTCTTCATCCATTTCCCTTATTTTGTGTTTTGTAAATTACTGTTACTGATGGGTCTTTATCAATAGGCATAAGAGCTCTTTGACCATGGGAACTTTCAACCATGGCCACTCTAAGAAGAAAGCTATGGAGAAGGGAAGTTCCCAAGTTCTATGGAGAAGATGATGATGCTTGGGGATGGCTAATATACTTGGAACAATATTTCCAGGCAGAGAGAACCCATGAAGATGAAAAGTTGACAGAGATTGTGAGGGGCCATAGATGACCTACCCTCATATGGTACAAATGTTGGTATTGGCTCAATCCCAAGGCAAATTGATGGGTCTTTATCAATTGGTATCAGAGCTTTTCGACCAGGGGAGCTTTGAAGCATGGCTATTCTAAGAAGATGATGATGCTTGGGGATGACTAATATACCTGGAACAATATTTCCAGGCAGAGAGAACCTATAAAGATGAGAAGTTGACAGAGGCTATGAGGGGGCTTAGAGGCCTTGCCCTCATATGGTACAAATGTTGGTATTGGCTCAATACCAAGGAAAACTTGTGGGTCTTTATCAATAGATGCTTAAATCTGGTTGTGGAGGCTGAAAGGAACATAAGTTGCGGCATGGATGAGTTCTATTTGGAACAAGCTGTGAAGTTCCTTCATAATTGCCTATTATATCAATTCGATTTGCATACAAATATTGGTGCTAAGGAACATATATCCAAGTATCTATTTGTTTCATTGGTTTCTTGGGATGATCAACCGTCACTCAAGTCTAAGTTATGATTGTGCAGTTGACAATTTTCATTCCCTTGTTGATGGCAAAGCTATTTGGTGCTTAATTGATTTTTACTTTCAAAGAGAACTTCATAATTCCAGTTCATTGATGCAAGTTACTAAGGAAAGTGGTAAGGGATCAATTTTGACTGTTAATGAATATTTAGAAGCACTATACAATATAATATTGTCCCAAAGTTGACTATGTTACTCGGGAGTTTTCCAGAGGTACAAACTAGTTGTTTACCTTAGAGAAAGTCAGTGGACCAGCCTCAGAAGTATCAGGGAGAATCTACAATTTCTACATGGCCAGAGTTTGTTGATTGTAGTGGCGAGTTTAGTCCCTTTTTGGAGCAAATGGTTGAGGTTATATCTAGGCGTGTATCTGAGGAGTATTCAACTCTTAGGCATTCAACTTTGAGAGGAATACTACAGATCCTTTCTACTCATATTCTGAAGTTTATTACTCAGGCCTTGGATGTTATATTAGTTCTACTAGATGAGTACAATGAACCTGTACAATTAAGGCCATTCTCTTGTTTACCAATGATTTGTGAATCTTCTCAGAGTGTTGCAGATGAGCCTATTTTTCTCAATCTTTTTCTACGGCCCCAATTATGTTCAAAAAGCACTGTTATCGATGTGTTAAATGTTTTTCGTATGCTAGGAAGTGATAATAGAGTTAGTGTAAGATGGGAATGAGATCCAGGCGGAAATTATCATGCATTGGAAATAAGTTTGCTCTTGCAATCCAAGCAATGGGATCCTAGCATAACGTTTTGACCTTCAACTTGAGGACAATGTGAAAGTTTTGGGGAGGAGGAGTATAGAGAGAGATCCACCCAAGATTAGAGGTACCGTAGAATGCATTATATGGGATCTTGTTATCCTACCTAATACTGAGTCAGCTAGTAACTGGTTGGCCACGAATATTTTAGAATGGGTTCAAAAGAAATTAGTTGGGGGAAGGAGAGGCTGGCAGAGGTGGTTAAGTAGGGAGAGGAAGATCTTGAAGGAATTATCTGGAGTCTTGCTTGGAACTTGGGTTGGGAGAGTGTAGAGCCTCTCCAATTGCTCTACGAAGCTGCTTTCCATTTTCTGTTTCTTGTAATTTCTCTGACACTGTTCTATTAGTCAGGTCTTGTATCTCTTTTCTTAATTCCATGTACCGTTGAGAAAATTTTCAGTAATATAAATATCAATTTCTTCATCCATTTCCCTTATTTTGTGTTTTGCAAATTACTGTTACTGGTGGGTCTTTACTCTTTATCAAATTGCTTCCACATAGGTCAATCAATTCACAGTGGTTTGGCATCATAATTCCATTATCATTGGTAAGTTTTGAATTTGATATATGTTAACATGTTCATACTGAAAATAGTCTGTAGTTTTAACTTTTAAGAACGATCTCAAATGACTTGGAGTAAAACAAAAATATGCTACCAGAAACAGCACATATTCGCCTCAACAAAATCATAATATGTCACGATGGGAATAATTAACAATGATAAGACTGAGCTTGATATAGAATTGCACAATAAAGTAACTAATGCTGATGAGAATGAATTTTAATGCAGTAGACACACACAGAAATATATATATATATATATATATATATATATATATAGGTAGATAGATAGATGGGAAAATCAGTCTTACATTCTTTATATGTTTTCCTTCTGAATCCCACGATTGACCTCGGCTCTCTGCACGGTAAAATTGGCAGCCTGCACAATGGTACAAAGCCAACAATCCTAGAATGTAGGCAACAGAATGTGGGGCACAGTCAGGGAAAAGCTGCACCAAATAAAGAATCTCCAGAGTTAAACATATTCCTCACTCATGACTAGGAAATTTCGAAATACAAAGAAAGTGTGTAAGCAGAAACAAGACTCTGTTAAGATATATCAGGTATTAACAGAAAATAAGATGCAGTATGCTGACATCAATGCTTCACAGAATGTCTGAAACCAAGAGCATCCCATTTCCATAGTCAATGAATCCTTGGTGTGATTATTTAAATACATTGGAAAAGAAAGATAGTGACCCAACTAATTTGGGATAAAGGTAATGTTGATGATTGGCAAAGAAAGACATCTTTCTAAGTTTTTCAAGGATCTTTCCGTCTTCCCCACAATCTATTAAAATTTTGAGGTTCTCCATACTTATCCAGTGAAGGTTCAACTGATGATGATTTTGATGTATCTCCTTAGTGTATATTTCTCATGAAGATTCTGTATTCAAATAATGGTTTCATGGTCCCCTATTGAAAATACACACATATACAATAAGAGCTTTGGTGATCACCTAGTACAAGTAGATCAAACAAATATTCATAGAAGCTCAAACACAGATGCAGAGTGCATCCTGACCAGGCACCAGCCCATTGACAAGTAATCTATTTGCCTTAGAAACTCTTTTTAAAGTGTTCGTATGTGCTCCTTGAAATATACCAATACCTAACTTTACAGATACAACAGTTTATTGATGCAACATGAAAGCATTGAGATTCTAGAGGTCCTGAAAGCATGAGTACTTACTTTCACATGAAGAGTCCCATATTCAGTTTCCAATCCTATAATACCCTGGAAATAATTAGAAAGAATATTGATAAATAAGATAATCCTTCATAAGTTGATAAAATCCCAACTAGGTAATACATCATAAAGAGACTGGAAAGATATAACTATCAAAGGAAAGAGAAGACACAATTTTTCAACATAGGTGATCCGCCCAAGATGTTTTACCAATTAACCACAAGACATAATCACACAACAGATGCCAAAATTGGTTCTCTACTCATATACGTCAAATTCATCCCATCACTCAATTGATGCCTTAGTGTATGAAACAGAGTCTTAGTAATCACATATTATTAGCTAAAAGACAATGATTATCAATAGCTTGGATTTTAGGTTATATATCTCACGGTCTGCCCCTTGAAAGAGATTATGCAAAATAACTCGCTTCTTAACCATAGAATCTAAATGTATTACACTTTTACCAAGGATTCTCTTTATTGGGCGCTGTCATAAACACAACATAATTCTATCTCAAATTTTGAGTAGAGGTGTAAAACCCCCTCCTTTTTTTTTCCAGGCTTGATGTTAAGATATATATCAATGGAAAAAGAGTACGTGCAATCTCAAAGCCCGCTGGCATAGCTAGCAATAGCTTATGTGCACCAGATTATAGGTGGCTGCAACTGTTTCTGTCTCAACTGAGTGGAACTTCCATCCCAGTCCTAGTTTCCAATGTACTCCCGCTATCTATGCCTATATTCTGAAACTGTCTTAGTCAACACTTCAATTACATCCATATTGTACATATCACAGTACAGAATCAAAAAATTGTTGAACTGAGAAAACAAAGCTTACTACAAACAACAGATAAAAAAGAAAAAAAAATGTATTTTGGAGATAATTAGCATCAGAGCCCATTGAATGCAAGATTTGATAATTTTGTTTCAGGTTCAGCATGCATTTCTTTTTTTTTTGGAATATTCCAATCGGTTCATTGCTTCGCAACTAATCCGATTCGGGGCGGGTCCAGGATTAAGGCTTTAAACCCCTCCCAAAGGTGGTACTGGGGAGATTCGAACACATGTTCTCACCCCCACTGCTTAGCTCCTATGCGCCAACTGAGCTACCACCATTTCAGCATGCATTTCTAAGCCGGTATCAGAACAAGAATTTTAAATCATGCAGTAGTTTGATGTAGATATTTTTATAAGGTGATGACTATCAATCAATTGGGTAGCATAGTTGGCAAGCAACAAATTTTATAAATAAAAATGGTTATTTAAAAAAACCAAACTGTAAAGAACCAATTCAACCCAAAAGCTTAAGCTGTTGGGTGAGGCTACATTAATGATTTTATATATCTCAACACGCCCCCTCACACGAGAGCCCACTGGGCTTGAAGGGTGGACAATGTACAGGCCCACCTACCTGTGCGAACAAAGAAATTCCACTTGAAAGAAAGTGGGAGGCGGCGAGGATCGAACCCGGGACACGAGGCTCTAATACTATGTAAAGAACCAATTCAACCCAAAAGCTTAAGCTGTTGGGTGAGACTACATTAATGATTTTATATATCTCAACACAAACATCTCTTACCTCTCCTTTTCCGAATATGAGACCAGAAGTCCAACCAACTTCTTCCCCTGCATGCACTCCTTCTTGCCGTTCAGGAGCTAAGCTGTCCTTTTGTTTCTTCAACCAACACTGAAACAATGAAGTTGGATGCTATGACTTCTGAGCTAAAGGTCAAAATTTTGATTAAAAAATTAAATTTCGAATTTAAAAAATAAATAATCTAGAATGATATTCCTGAACTAAAATCAATTCTATCCTGCATAAATACACTCCAAAAGAATTTGCTAAAGGCCATAACAGAAACCAACTCATTGAAAATGGCTCCACACTTCACCCCCAAAAATATTTCAGAAGTATGCACCACACACTTTGCTAATCCAAGCCTAAACAGGCAAGTACTTGATCAGGCACATTAATGAATCTATCTTTTCACCTTACTACTTTAGCACTTACTGGTCCCAATCAACAATCTCCTATATAACCACACCAGTAGTTTGTCTCACTTTGTATACTCTCGCTCACACGACCAAGGCAGCAGCAACAATTCGGGTAAGATGTGACCATGTGTGTGCTTCCTAAGTTATATAATTTACTATTCAAACATAATTTTATTGTAAAGAAGCACCCGCCAAATCACAACGCCAAATCTTGATTTTAGTTTTAAGACATTAGATTTATGAACCATTGAGTTATATGGTCTTTATTTAGTCCATTCCAAACCAAGTTGAGACTTAATTACTCACGAGTCCTCACAATTGAATTTCTAACCATAATTGAGTAATATATATTGTCTATATATCTGAAATCATTTGAAATTCTGATTACAGAGATTTAGTCCAAGACTCGACTCAGCAACTCTAAGCAGAGAAACAACAACTGCAACACCAATTGCAAGAGTGAATCCAAAATGATCAACCCAAATGGCAAATCCACAGATCTCCAAACTGCAAAATCAGCAAAAACAAGTTGCTAACTTACCTCACCGAACTTAGATCCACAAGCCTGACGATTTCCACAAAACACCCACGTATCACAAAGGCATGGCCCATCATTCCCAGTGCACATGGATTTACAAGCGTTGCAGCACCCTTCGGAATTGTTGAACTTGAAATCAGAACCCCACTTCACAGCTGCACCCCAAAGCTCCGAATTTTCAACCCCTCTGCAACACCCTCCAACATTCTGCGCCGCCAAACCAACAGCACCATCGCCTTGAACCAATGCCAACGACGTCCCAAACTTTGAAATGGAAGAGGTTCTGCTGAGCACTGAAGAGAGGAAGGTGTAGACCAACCCGCACGAAGCAAAGCACACCACGAGGAGAATCAAACGGTTCGACAGAGTGGAGTTTGGTTCGTTGTGCTTACGACCCATTGGAGAGTTTAGTAAGAAAAAGAAAAAAGAAAAAAAGAAAAAAAAAAAGAGAGAGAGAGAGAGAGAGAGAGAGCAAAACCCAGAATATGGATAACGTTAAAGATAGTTGAGGAACGAATTAGAGAGGCCGTTGACTAGTTCTTATTGTTGGAATATAACAGTGGTCTCTGTGGTAACGCAATGAAAGAGAGAGTGAGAGTGATCATATCATAATTGATTCAAAAGAACACAAGATAGATTTAGAATGTGGGAATTGGATGCCAACTTTTCATGCTGAGGAGGGTTCAGACTTTAGATCGAATACAGAGTTTCACATTTTTGTCTTTTTCTGTTCCCTGTTGAGTTGAGTCTTTGACTGTGCTACAAGAACGTGCTGTTTGTTTCTTTCGTTTGATTTCGAACCGGTCCTGCTACTAACAATAAAAAAGAAATCCAGAAAGTACTGAAATAACAAGAAAGCATTGAAATAATTGAGCTCAATGATTAGCAAAATAAATTATTTAAAAAATTCATGTAGATCACGATAGAGAAATTCTAATAATGCAGTAACAATAACTGCTCAATTAATCCTGTATTGTATTTCAATGATAAGAGTATAATATCATATCATATAAAGCATTATTTAAATATATTTTCATAAAAATAATATTTTTTTGGCGATGAGCTTTATTTTAAAAAAGTTTCAGTGGTTCTCTGGAATAGAAAGTGAAAAATGTTATTTTATATCAGACTTTCTTTCTTTTTTGAGTTTTATTAGTGTTATGTAACATAATGTAAATGTTATTTCCAACTCTCACATCAAAAGGGAGAGAGAAAGTGAAATGATGAAAGAGAAAGAAAAACATGTGGACTACACCTCTTTAATGTGTGTGTAGGAAAGTGAAGTTATATTATGTTAAATGATAAACATAAAACTCTTCTTTTTTTTCTATTCCAATTTTCAGTAAACAAGAAACCAAACTATAGCCAACAATAAGCAAGATGTGTTGGAATCTTTGGGTGCGCACGACAACCTTCCCGGAATTAATTCTTTTTTAATTTCTGTTCCCGGGAACATAAATGGATAGGAAACTCGTTTGGTAAAACCGGTTTATTTTTTGTTTCCGGATGAACCGGTTTATTTTTTGTGCCGGGGAACAGAAAAAAGAATCAAAAAATTTCTGTTTTTTTGTTCCCGGGCACAAAAGGAGAAACACTTATCTCTCTCAGTCACTCTCCACATCTACCATCATTACCACCACCTCCTCCACCATCACTACCACCATGCCATCGTCACCATCACCACAACTACCGCCGCCGCCACCACCACTATCATCGTCACCACCACTATCATCGTCACCACCACCATCAACCACCACCACTATTATCGCAACCATTGTCGTCACTGCCACCATCGTCATCACACGCCACTGCCACCACCTCATCGCCATCACTACTACCACCACGACGCCACCACTACAATCACCTCCACTGTCACCAACCACCACTACCATTGTCGCAGCCACCACCGTCGTCGCCGCCGCCACCAACCACTACCACCATCGTCAAAGCCATTACCGTCACCACCATCGCCACTACCATCACCACGCCATCGCCACCACTGCCACCATCACCACTACCACCACCATTGTCACCTACCACTACCGCCACCGCCGTAGTCACTACCATCACCACCATCATGCCACTGCTATCATTGTTGCCGCCACCAACCACCTTATCCACCACCATTGTCGCAGCCACTGTCGTAACCTCCACCACCACCATTACCACTGTTATCGTCTCAGCCACTGTCGTCACAACCACCATCACTATCTTCACCACGTCACTGCCACCACCACTACCATACAACTGCCGCCACCACCACCACAACCACACCATATGGAAAGGAAAGTGATGATCCGATTATATTTAATAGAAATTATTTTTGTTATATTATTTGTTGTGTTATCAAACGCAATTCTCATTCTCGGAATAAAAATAGAACATGTTATCAAACACATTTTTTTTTCAAATGACATAAGTTATGTCATTTTAGAAGAAAGATAAATATAAGGAATAAAAATTATGGAAGAAAAAGTGGATGATTTTTTTTAATTTAAATTTTAAATAAAAAATATTATTTTGTATCTATTTCTCTCTTAAAATAACATAATTTTATATCATATAAAATGACAAATATTTTTCCCTTAGTGCTTTTTATTTTCGGTAGAAGCTTAAACCCTATTGTAAAAGGAAAATGTTTCATAAATGTTTTTCTTAACGTAATCCCACGTACAGAGCAATGAGTCATTATCAAAACTAGGTTTGGAATGCTTAATTGTATACCAATGTTATTAAATCAGCCCGATTATTGATCCGACGATCAAATATATAATACTTATGATACTGATTTTTCAGATTTAGTAAATGATATTTCTACTTATAAATTAAATCAAAAGTCACTGTATATTACATAACTAAGACAATATTGATATTGTAGGTACATATCTATGTAAGTCAATAAGTAACAAATTACAGATCACTCAAATATTTCAAATAAAAACAACTATTTGTGTGTAAGAGTGAAAAAAGAAAAGAATCAATTGATTAGAACAAACTAATTTTTTTTTATGTGAATCGGGTCGGGTTATCGAATTTTATAAAAATCGACTGGGTTATACCAGTTCTATTATATAGTCGATCCAATACTAAAATTGAACCAATTATATGATCAGTTCATCGATTTTCAAGTCAATTCGATTTTTATAACATTGTGTAATACAATTAGGATACCATTCATTTGATACACATAGATAGGGGTGAAACTGGGTCGGACCAACTTACAGGGACCTACGGCTCGGCCTACGTCAGGCCAGACCTCTCCTAGTAAATTTCGTAACATAGGCAGGGCTTGGGCTTTGAAAAAACTTGTTTAATAAAAAGGCCGTAGGGCACTTTCACAAGATCTGACCTATAAGCGTACAGGCCGGCCTATGTTGTACTATTTATTTTAAATAAAATTAAATAGAATAAGTATGCCATGAAGAAAAAATAAAAGATATAAATTTAAGGGATAGGTTATTGTGCCTACTCCTATTTTGCCTACCCCTTTCGTTACCATTCGATTACCATATAATCCAACGGTCTATATTTGCGATATAAAATAAACATTTTTTTCCTTATTTTTTTCCTCACTTTCTCCCATACCCTTTCTCTCTTCCTCTTAGGTTATGTACTAATTTTTTTTTTAACAATATAATTAGTCTTTCTGGTTTTCTTTAATATGCATCTTTGTAGTTGCTACCTAGGTCTCATAAATCATAATACAATTTTCTTTATCAACCAAAACAGGAAATTTATAAAGATCTAATGACAATGACTCGATGTTGTCAATTAATCCATTAAGCTGATCCCACTAATGAGATAAGACTCGGCTGTTGTTGTTGTTGAGTAAGATGAATGCTATTGTGTGATTCTATGTAAGCATGAGTATTCTTGTATAGACGATAAAAACTTTTGTGTCGTACTTTTGAAATTGGTTATTTTTGCTTGCTTTCCAGATTTCTTGTTAACCTGGGCTGAGAATAACGATAAAGGAAAAAAATAAATAGGTATACGGCAGAAGGAGAGAGAAAGGGTATGAGAGAAAGTGAGGAGAAAAGAAAGGGAAAAAAATATTTATTTTATATCGCAAATATGAACCGTTGGATTATATGGTAATCGAACGGTAACGAAAGGGGTAGGCAAAGGTAGACAAAATGGGAGTAGGCACAATAACCTATCCCTAAATTTAATCAATTGCAATTATTTATAACTTAATTATATTCGATCATATTTTAATAAAAATCTGACTTTATCTTTTATGTAGGAGGAACCAACATCTCATCATGTTAGATTGTGTATATAAATATATTAAAAGATTTTTGGAAGAGGTTATACTTACTACAAGCATCATGATGTGTTTGTTGGATTCATGTAGTTATTTTAATTTACATAGTATTAATTTATTTGTTGGATCTGATAAAATATATGATATTTAGTTTAGGCATTTTGCTTTTGAAAGTGACTTAAATGCAGATTGTATGAGTTTTGTTGTGATTTATGATTCTATTTGGACGTTGAAATTATGATTTTTGGTTTAGCAACAGAATTTAAGTATTTTGTAAAGTTAATTTATGGTTCTGCTTGAAAGTTAAAAATTAACAGGCTAACGAGCTAGGGCAGACCATTTATTTTTTTGTAAACGGATCAAGTCAGACTAACAGTTAGACTCGTACTAGAGTGCTGTGTTCAATTCCTTGTAACCTCCAAAAAAAAAAAAATTCTAATAATGCAATAACAATACAATACATGATTATTAATGCAATTAATCATGTATTGTATTTCAACGATAAGAGTACAATATCATATAAAGCATTATTTAAATATATTTTCATAAAAATAATATATTTTTGGCGATGAGCTTTATTTTAAAAAAGTTTCAGTGGTTCTCTGGAATAGAAAGTGAAAAATGTTATTTTATATCAGACTTTCTTTCTTTCTTTTTCTATTCCAATTTTCAGTAAACAAGAAACCAAACTATAGCCAACAATAAGCAAGATGTGTTGGAATCTTTGAGACTCGCGTCACGAGTATATCGTGGAAAGTTTCAAAGGTTATTGAGTTTGATCTTTCTATTTTTAAAGAACATAACTTATATTATTTTAAGAGAAAAATAGACACAAGGAATAAAAATTATAGAAGAGAAAGTAGATAATTTTTTTAATTTAAATTTTAAATAAAAAATATTATTTTATGTCTATTTTTTTCTTAACATGATATAATTTTATATCATATAAAATGACAAATATTTTTTTCAAGATTTTTCGTTTGTGTTCTTTATTTTCGGTAGAAGCTTAAACCCTATTGTAAAAGGAAAATGTTTCATAAATGTTTTTCTTAACGTAATCCCACGTACAGAGCAATGAGTCATTATCAAAACTAGCTAGGTTTGGAATGCTTAATTATAATACCAATGTTATTAAACCAGCCTGATTATTGATCCGACGACAAATATATAATATTTGTGATATTAATTTTTTAGATTTAGTAGACAACATTTTTAATTATAAATTAAATTAAAAGTCACTGTATATTACATAACTAAGACAATATTGATATTGTAAGTACATACCTATATAAGTCAATAAATAACAAGTAACATATCACTTAAATATTTCAAATAACAACAAACTATTTGTGTGTGTGAGTGAAAAAAGAAAAGAATCAATTGATTAGAACAAACTATTTTCCTTTTGTGAATCGGGTTGGGTTATCGATTTTTATAAAAACCAGCCGGATCATACCATTTCTATTATATAGTAGATCCAATAGCAAAATTGAACAAGTTATATGACCGGTTCATCGATTTTCAAGTCAATCTGATTTTTATAACATTGAGTAATACAATCAGGATACCATTCTTTTGATACACATAGACCATTCAAACTCGAAATTTTTTTTGGATAACTCGTAGATATAATGGAAGACAATTCTATTCGAATCGGAAATACTAATATTATGGTGGGAGTAGCCAACAAATTTTTTTTATATTCACAACTAAGACCAATATTATATTCTCTTACTCATAATAAACACAAGCATGCGTTTTGAAAATTTTCTTTTATCTTGTATAAAATTCTTCAAAACCGTCCCTCATTTTTTTTTTTGGTAAAGGAATTTTCTAGTCAACGGAGATAAGTTATATCCAGTGAGCCCAAAATGATGTCGTTTTGAGCTCACTAGAGATAACTTTATCTCCGGTAACTGGAAAAATACTTTTTCCTTTTTTTATTTTATGTAAAACTCCTTTAGTATAAGGGTTTGTTTTTTCTAAAGTTACTTTAGATAACTTTATCTAATGTTCGCCGAAATGACGTCGTTTTGGAGCGAAAATCATGGTATATTTGTAATTTTAATTTATTTCAGGGTTATAATAGTCTTTATCATTCTAATTTTTTAATTTTTCAACTTCAAAATGACGTCGTTTTAGTGAACATTAGATAAAATTATCTAAAATAACATTAGATACTTTTTCCCCTCTAAAATTCAAAATATCAATTATTTTAAAGAAAAATTTATTATTTTATTTATCTTTTAAAAAATCAAGAAGGCATTTTTTTTGAATTTTGTCGCTTTATCTATTAAGGGAAAATTATTTGTCATTTTAAATGACATAAAGTAATGTCATTTTAAGAGATAGATAGATGCAAAATAATTTTTTTATTTAAAATTTAAATTAAAAAAACCATCCACTTTCTCTCTCATGATTTCTATTTTTTGTGTCTATCTCTCTCCTAAAATGACATAACTTATGTCATTTAAAATAACAAACACCTGTTATCAAAAAAAATAAAATAACAAACACCAAACTCATCTATTAAATAAAACGAATAAAAGCATAAATAGAATAGAAGGATAATATGTTTTTTCCTTAAAACTGTAGATATTTAATAATTTTCTTCACCCTTATAAAAAAAACTTTAAATATAACATTTGAAAAGGGAATCAGTATTTCAGGGTGTAATAAATACAATCAACTGACGAAAATCGATTCAAACCCCGATCAGTGAACCGAAAATTTGATAAATTAATTAATTAAAATCGCAAAATAAAATATCGAATTTTTTTGCATATTTTAATTGGATTAGATCGATTTCGATTTGGTTGGTGAAAATCGATCCAATCCAAAATATTATGTATTTATTATTATAGAAAGATGATAACTTGAAATCTTGAATGTTATCGATAACAAATTGTCTTATTTTAATTTTTTTATTGTCAATTAATCTATTTTAACTTTTCATAAGTTTTAAAACTCATTTTAATTTGAAGACTTGAATTTTCCAGTGATTTGTAACTTTGAATGACCTTATTTGATGAAATTTTAGGCTTTTTGAAAAATCGAAAACAGATCCAATTCAAACGGAATAAAATTGGATTGAATTGAATCAAATTTAAAAAAAAAAATTAAACTAAATGGATGATTAAATAATCAAACCAAATGAATTACATCGGATGATTTTTATTTCAAAATCGATCCAGACCGCAAACAACCCTACAAAACTGGGTATGAATGAGTTGAGTTATTTCTAAATAAGGCAGGCTAGAGTTATCAAAACAAAAAATAATTGAGGCTAGATTCATGAAGCACTCCCTTTTGTTTAACTGATCTAGTAAACTCAAGTTTCTTTAACTAATCTAGTAAACTCTAGTAAACTCAATGTTTAACGGCACTAGAAATTAATTAAATACAAAGATAAGTGACTCTACAATAAATTAGAAAAAGATTGTGAACTTTTCTCTAAAATTAAAAATAAAAATAAAATTGGTAAGAAAAATAATTAAGTTATAAACGAAAACGAACTCAAATTTCATATTTATAAACAAATCTAAATTTTAAATTTGACTATTTAATCAACATTATATTTTTTTACCAAGCCACATCAAGTACTTTGACAATATACCGGACAACAAATTCAGGCCTTGGTCACAAAGGTTTCGCATAATAGCCACTAGCATCAACTTCCTCGCCAGCCTCTTCAACATCCACAGCTTTGGATCCTGGCCCGGGTATCCTTGCCTCTTGTATGATCCGCATGATTTCTTCCACACTTTGTCTTGGTTGGTCTTTCCATGTTTCCTTGTAATCTTTTTTTATTTCAGCCTCAAATTTCTGTCTAGGTAGTTTCTTCGAAAGCCAAGGATGCTGTTTTATCTCGGTGACGGTGATTCTCTTTAACAAGGATGAGAAATAATTAGTTGGAAAATATGAGGATTTATACAAGAACTATATCCACTTAAAGTGTTACAAAAGTAAACCACTAGGTACATTTGTAACCTTTCATTTTGACGTTTTTAAAGTGAAACATGAATTCAAGCAAGGGCCATTACCATGAAAAATTTGTAGTTTTATATAGCTTGTTTAACTAGAATATTTGTATAAGTTGTCTGGTTTTGTCAGAATTGATAAAACTTACCATGGCAGGATTGGCAACAAAAATACGAGAGAGGAGATGCCTACACTCTGCAGAAACACGTATGCTGTCCGGTATGGAGTACTGAACACTCATTATTCTCTGCCAACAATGGAATGAGAGTTTAAATTTCCTGCTATAGATGAAAGGTATTAATCATGATGGAACTTTTCTATGTCAAGTAAGAGCTCACCTCAATACTCTTTCTTATATTGTTAGCTTCTCCTGGGTCTGCAAATGGGTACGCTCCAAATAACATGACATAAAGAGACACACCACAAGACCAAACATCTGCAAGCTACAGAGTTGCCAATTTGTGAACGAAATTAAGCATTTGAGGACTATGATACTAAGAGTTTCAATTGTCAAACCATATATGGCTGCCACTTACCATAGTGTGGGACTTGACATAGTTATTAGGCACTCAGGAAAATAACAGATAAATCACAATACCTTTCCATCATACTCCTTTCGCAAAAAAACCTCTGGAGCAATGTATGCAGGAGTTCCAATTGTTGATTTAGGTCGAGAGTGCAGAAAAGCGGACTGCAATTGAATATTAAATTAAAATAGGAAAGTCAATAAACAATAGTAACAATATTTCATAAAAGTTTATTTTGGTGAGATGCTATTAACCTTGGAGAAACCAAAGTCACAAATTTTAAGTTGAGGAGCTGGATTTCCGTCCAAGAGAATGTTTTCCAATTTCAAATCTCTATGACAAATTTGCTGCAGCAGGATGCATAAGAAGATATAAGACAGTTTTTAATCAATAACCAAAAACGAATTCTGGGTGCATACATACCATGGAATGACAGTAGCTAACTCCACATATTAGTTGCAGAAAGAAAAATCTTGCCTGAAATATAGGGAATTCCATCAAAACAATAACCTGATAAATTATACATGGAGAGGGATTATTTTATATATATATTGAACTTTAAATTTGACAACCTCATCTTCACTTATTCGACCAGCATCATTAACCCTATCAAAGAGTTCACCACCACCAGCATACTCCATGACAATAGCTAAATGAGTAGGGGTCAGAAATACCTGCAGAAACGATTTGATATTCAGCATTTGTTGTATATAACTTCGTTAGGAAGGCTCTAAATAGAATACATCACGATCTAGTTATAATACGGGCGATGCAGGAAATTCATATCGAGTTTTTTTTCTTTTTTTCTTTCTTTCTTTCTGAAGGAACAGAACTATTTAGTTTTGGCAGATATTTTCAAACTAATGAATTTGATTTGCAGTTATTCTTGAAGCAGGATAGTTTGTAACCTAGCTGTTTGTATATTGTTAGATATAAAATTACTCATGAGTTCATTGGTTCTTTACATGTTGTAAGTACAAAAATAATGCAGATACTATTAAGGAAATTCAATATGTCCAATTCCATGTCAAGAAAAAACTCTACTGAAGGGACAGTTTAAGGTACAAAAACAAACTCTTACCTCTCTGAACCCGATAATATTTGGATGCCTTAAACATCGGTGGTTAATTATCTCCCTTTGAACCTTCTTATCAATCTGATATCAAAAATATAACTCACTCAGAAGAAATGAAGATGAGAAACAATTTGGAAAAAAAATTATCAGAAAATAAAATTGTGAGGTTGCTCTACTTCATTGTGCATAATAATGTCCTAATTGAGAGTGCTGAGTCTGGTGACGTAATCAAATTAAGCTTGATAAAGAGGACAACAACAGTTTCAAGAATGCAAACCAGAAGAGAAATCCCCAATCCCATACACAAATTAGCATAAGTCAATTTCAATTTTCAATTCCAGAATTCTATTACACAGGACAATTTTGAATGAGGAACAGCCTTAACCCGTTGAGTTTCCAGAATTTCATGCACATAAATCAATCTTACAAAAAAAAAAAAGGTTTTACCTTAGTTCCCCTTTCTATGTATTTGACAGCAACAAGCTCCCCTGTCTTCTTGTCTTTGACCAACTTAGCCACACCAAAATTACCCGAACCAATATCCTTCAATGGCTCATACCGTTTCTCCATATCGACTCTCAAGAAAGCAACAACACCAACTTCCACAGCCACTCCAACGCTGAAGTCACAGACCAAAAGTGTTTAAACGAGGAAACCAATACCTTTTTATACATACACGCATCACATTAATAATTGATTTTTGTAATTATACTCATTAATTATCTATTATTTTATAATAAATTATCATAATTACATATATATATATATATATATATATATAAATCAACTGTAAGATTTATTATTCTTATCCTCTAGCCGATCATATATACGCAGGTTGAACAAGAATTCAAATTAAAATAAATAAATAAATAAATAAAAAGTAAATTAACTGAACTAACTGAACTCACCGTCCTAGTCCAAGCAATGATAATAAAAAAAAGCAAAGATGCACGCGGAGAAAGACCGATAATTGTGGGAATGGTAATATTGTTGATACACAGGATAGGATGTTCTTATCGGAAATATTTTGAGTGCAACCGTCAGCCTTCTTTCAACCAAAAGGGGTGACTCGCATCGCAAGTTTTCTAGGTGTGTTATGTTGTCTTGTCGCTTAACAAAATATAAGAGACAAATCAGCTGGAGCGCGTGATAGGTCCCTTTCGCTTTGGACTTGAGAAATCATGTGGGTCCTACTCCATTAACTCTGAGCTTAAGGGGCGTTTAGTACAGGAGAAATTTTTATTTGTCCGAGAATCTCGATTTTCAAAAATATGATTTTTGCATTCAGTTTACGATAATATCTGAAAATTTAAAAAAATTCAGTTTCCCGGATATCCCTCGGAATCCCGCATACCAAACGCCCCTCTCGAGGGAAAGTTTTTAAATACAAGTGGTACATCATTTTATCAAATCAGAAGAAAAAATATTCATTTCCATCCCTTTTTTTTTTCGTATCTTAAAATCTTATCTCTTTTGATAAGGATGTACATAGGGAAATCAAATCTCCTATGCATTTAAAAAAATGAGATCCACTTTAATTTTTTTTTTTCTCTGTACAATAAAATTCACATAAATTTATGAGTGTAACATGAGATATTTTATCTCATATTGCATAAAAAAATATAATCATGTATACATATTTTCACTACAGACAAGGTTTTCTCCCACCTTGATGAGGCAATAAATTATACTGTGAATATGACCCACACAATATCTTCAATAATTAACAATTGCCCTTTTCTTACTAGATATAGCTAAGCATGTAAAACATTAAAAATTATTTTAAAGATAAAATGTATTATTTTTAATAAAATTATACAATAGAAAATTTTAATTGTTGTTATTAAAATATTTGTTACTAAGGGCCCGTATGAATTAGCTTTTAAAAAAATGAATTTTTATGCATTGCTTTTAAAAAAAAAAAAATTTATTTTATGTTTGAATGTATGATCTGAAAATCACTTTTACATAAAAAAAATTGTTTGAATGTTAAAATAAAAAAAAAAAACTTTTTATATATAAAGTTACAATAAAAGAGATAAAATAGCATGATAGTGGGATAAGGAGAGATAAAATAGATATGATAGAATGAGGTTAAAATTGTATTTTAAAAATTTATATTATCTTTTTTCCAAAAAAAAATTTATATTATCTTTTAATTTCTGCTTTTTTCAAAAGCAATCAACTATTGGCTAAAAAAAAAGCAACATTTTAAATTTTATTTTAAATTTTACTTTTTTAAAAATTTGTTATCCAAACATCTATAAATTCTCAAAAGAACTTTTATTTAAAAAAAATAAATTTAAGAATAAAAGTCAATCCAAACGGACACTGAAAAGCCTTAAAATTAATTACTGTGTTTATGTAGAAAAAATACATTTTTTATTTATAAATCTTCTAGACGTGTGAAGTTAATTTTAATTTAATACTAAAAATAGGGATATGATATTATAAGGGATCATTATAGTTTTCATTGTATTTCCAAAAAAAAAAATAAAGTAGGATCATTATCAATGTTACTACCAACCAATCTCATTCTACCAACCAATATCATTAAATTGGGGATCTTGGTCCTGATTTAATATATATATAGCTCTCTCTCTTCCCTTCCCTCTCTTTCATTATACTGTCCATCACCACCGCTGCTCCCATTCTCCGCCCCCGCACTCTTCCATCATCGTCGCCGCCGCACTCTTCCACTGCCTCGCCGCCGCTGTTACCATGATCAACATGTGCAATAAGAGACATGTTACGAATGTTGTGCTTGTAGTCCATAATGTGACGAAGCACATCCGCTGTAAATTTGGTTTTCGTTATGAGTTCAGTGACGGGAGAAAGAAAAATTATACCAACAAAAGCTCATCCTGAAAAGAAAGTAACTTTTTTAAGAAAAATATTTGTAATCTGATAACATATAACAAAATTTCATTCACACGTATTTTTTTCTAATAAAAAATTGAATATATAAGAATCCCGTGCAACGAACAGCTAAAAGAAAAAAATAGTCAACAGTATGAGCTTCCTTAAAAAAGTTACTTTCTTATGCGACGAAGCTCATGCTTGCGGCGGCGAGGCGGTGGAAGAGTGCGGCGGCGGTGGTGATGGAAGAGTGCGGGGGCTCGTCGGTGATGATGGGCAGATCGTACAGTGAGAGAGAGGAAAAAGAAGAGAGAGGGCTATATATACATTGAATCAGGACCGTCGGATAAGATCACCAATTTAACGGTGAGATTTGTTGACAGTAACATTGGTAATATTCTACCACTTATTAGTTAAGTTATTCAATCACAATAAGTAACAATAATGAAGTAAATTACTAATATACTATTTAATGCATTCTAAACAAAAAATTTAATTAGTAATTTTTTTTTTTTTTTATAATAATTCCAAACACAAAATATTTTAAAATCAAATCTAATTAATCCAGATCAAATCATTCCCTATAATTTTCATATGAATTCAAACACGACCTTATCAAATTTAAGGTCTACTCTTAAAATGTATTAACTATTATTAATAAAGCCACTAAAATTGGTCTAGTGACGAGGGATTTAGGTAATTTGTATTAGATTATGTGTTCAATTTTTATCATTGTATTAAAAAAATATTATTAATAAAAATATTCAATGTTAAATGACATTATTTTATGAAATTACTGATTAAGTAATTAGTCAAGCAATGCTATAGAAATTCAGGGGGCGTTCTGGTTCCGGTGAATATGTTGGGGAATTGGATTTTTTAGGAATGTTACAAAAAAAAATTTGATAGGCCAAAATATTCCTTGGCTCAAGTTTTCTGATTTTATATTTGGCTGATTGTCAATGATTTTTGAGAATGTGAATTAATTTTACAAAATTAAGAGGGTCACCAGAGCGAAGCGACGTGAAGCAGATGGGAACCCATTAAAGGCGTCGTGAAAGCAAAGAAAGGAACCCATGATTTTAACTAGGTAGGATATTTTAGTCGTAAAAATATAAAAATATGTCTTATAAGTTATGTTAAAAAAATCACCAAGTGGGAATCGAATAACACCACCCACCTGGTGGTATTATTTTATGTGATTCTTATTCACAATTTTAATTCCTAAGAATCTCATTTTCTCAGGAAAATTTTAAAAAACTTTATTCCAAACATGGGGTAACTAGTATTCCCAACGTGAGTTTTATGAGAATCTACAGTTTATCCCGCTATCAAACGGCCCTTTAGATTAGCAACTTGCCACGTTGAATTAGAGCTTATTTTCAATGATCGTGGGGGCACATGCTCCTTTGCCAAAATAGGAAAAATAATGAATAAGAGTGAAAATAACTATAAAGATGAGGATAGTGTAAAAATGTTATTTTTTGTCATATTTAATTAAGGGAATTATGACTCTCCTGTTGCAGCAGGAGAGTCTTTTTCTTCTGTCAGTGAGATAAAAAATTATGTTAGGTCAGTGTATAACAAAAAAGAAAAAAGAAAAAAGAAAAATTGTTTGGCACAAAAATCACTATCAGCTGGAGATGTTTCTTCTTTCCTCTGGATAAGACGGATTTTTTTATTATAGACCCAGCCCACAACTTTTTAGGTGTGCCTTTTTTCAAAACGAAAAAAATTTCTTCCACTTAAATTCCTCTCTTCTTCACAAATTCTCCCTCCTACCATTTTGTTTTCCATTTTAGGATAGGGACTTTGAAGTCTCGGTCCATATAAAATGAGCTCGGATAAGACTAGTTAATCCCTTTAATTAAATGGTGTACTTAGTATTCAGTGGTCCTCGAGTACTGTAAATGTATTTTCATTGAATTAAACTTGTTGCGAATTGGCTTCCATTTGGCACAAACTAAGGATCCCGAATTAACCCCCCATAAATGTTGAACGAGTGGAGATTACGGTCTCCCTTAACACATCGTCTGAACTAACCAATGTTTTGGTAATTGTAAATGTGGTTGTTTGGTTCAGGTGGATCATAAATGTTCATTGGATTGGATAGGTGATAGCTTGATATGGGATTTGTATGCTGATTGGGTAGGGAATGAATCTTCTTATGTTATTTGATCACAACTACTTATTTAAAAATTATATATTTTTCTCTCTCTTATCTCATCATCAATGAGTGGTTGTGATCAAATAACGTGACCACATAACTACTTTTGCACATGAGAGGATCTTTTTCCGGTGGATATCTATAAAAGAGATATCAAGATACGGTAAAGGAGTATGGATTACTGTGCATTGAATAATAGGCGTATATGAGCAAAATGAAGTAAAATGAATGTGTGTTCCGTAATAATGAAGTAAAATGAGCAAAAAAAAGTGTGTTGTGTTATCAGTCAATGTTAATTTCTATAAAAACAATTATCAGTCAATGTTAATTATGAATATTTACTAATTTTTGAATCCGCTACGCGCATGCAACAGACGATGTGGAAATCTATTAATATAAACTAGTAAATTACCTGTGCGATGCCCGGGAAAAAAGAACAAAATCATTGTTGTCGTCGTTGGTTAATCACCGCACCGGTAAATCTAACACTTTCATCTTACTATCAAACTCTGAACAGTACTATGGTATATGTATAAACATGAAGGAATAAAAAATAAAAAAGCAAACCTATTGTTTGAGAATTATCTGAAATAAAAAAGAATTGTCTAGCTATTTTTGAACTTTAAAAGGCTAAAGCATTCACACAGAATTTTGTAAATATCAACCACAAACAAAATTTTGCAATTCAGAGGCATTGATTATTATGCAAATCAAATATAGTTATTTACTCAATAACTCAGTCTTCAAATATAACTACCAATGAACCTTTTGTTCTGCATTATTATTCAATATGATCCCGTCTTATTAATTCAACCGTACACAAAATTTGCAACAAATTAAAATCAATTAATATACATGAAGAAAAAATAATAATAAATAATAACAAACAGATTTATAAAATAATAATAAATAATTATTTTTTCCAAGGATTTGTGTCGTTAGTATTTGAAATTTTACAAATTTGTATTTACAAAAATTAAAATCAGATTTAGAAATTTAATTATAAAAGAAGAAGGATGAAATTTTAATTTAATTACAAAAAAGTGTCGGA